GATCCGAGCTTCCCAGAGAGCCCAAGGGGCCCCTTAACTAAGGAATACCTAGGGTTCCTTAAGGGATCTATTAGGGATCTATAGGGTCTAGGGTTTAAGGCTCCAATACCCCTTAATTAAGGAATATGGCTTAAATCATAATATGAAGCCCTATATAGTTTAAGCCATATTCCTTAATTAAGGGGTATTGGGCTCTCTGGGTTAGGGCTTAAGGGTTCCCTTAAAGGGCTCCTTTAAAGGGATCTATAGGGTCTTATAGGATTTTAAGCCTTTAAAGTGATCGAAAGGGTACTATAGGGTCTTATAGGATTTTAAGGGTACTATAGGGTCTTATAGGGTTTTGGGGCTTAGGGGTCCCTTTAAAGGGGTCTATAGGGTACTATAGGGTCTTTTAGGGTTTTAGGGCTTAGGGTTTTTGTCCTTAGGGTTTTAGGGCTTAGGGCTTTAAGGGGTTTAGGGCTTATAGACCCCCCAACTACCCTCTAATATATCCCAGATACCCACTATCATGGGCCATAAGGACTTTATTAAAGGGCCCTTGGGGGGTCCTTGTCGCGGCTTAGGGTTCCGGATTTTAGGGTGTTAGGGCCAGGGCTTTAAGGGGTTTAGGGGTTTGAGGGTTTAAGAGAGCGAAGGGCGCTCGGAGGTCTAAGGTGGGTTTTCGGAAGCTTTTGTTGGTGGTTTTCTGAATTTGTGTGTGAGTCTTCGGAATTTGTTGGTTGCTTTCGGAGTTCATGGTTGGCTTTCTGAATTGTCTGTGGTTTTTGGAGTTTTGTGGTGCTTTCCGGAGTTCATGCGTGGGTTTTGTTGAACGTCATTTTTAAGGGTTCCCAGGAAGGGGTTGTCCGAATGACAAACCTACCAGTACTCACAACCAATCCACCAGGGCCCCTGATCCTTCACGCAGGGTTCGGAGCTGTGATTTTGACCAGCTCCAAGTGTTTCTTATGCGCAGAAAAAACACTAAGGAGTTTCAGAGTCCAGGGTTCAGGGCGAAGGATGCAAGGGTGTAATTAGAGCAGGGTAAAAGCCCGGGGATTTAAAGTCAAAGACTTTTAGGGGTTCCAGGATGCCGACGTACGACTGTAGCTCTGAGTCACGGAGCGTCGTCGCTCTTTTCGAAAGAGATGAGTTCCCTACGTACCTCTCACCCAACAGCTCAGCGCCCTGCAAACCACTGCATATCATCTGGCATTTCCAGAAAGCGGAGGAACCGCCGATCCCGGCTTCTCAGGGAGCCCATCCACTGGATGCAGATTGGACTTAGATCATTCGTGGGCTGATGGAGTGTGCGAGTCATGCACAAAGTGCCGTTTCGACCGTTCCGGGCATGTGGGCGGCTGTCAAAATTAGGGTCCCTCTTCGGGTCCCTATAATAGTACGGCACCTATTATTTAGGGTACCCAAAAAAGGGACCCTAATTTTGACAACCGCGCCACCCATGTGTAAGCAAACACCCAACGGCTCCGCAGACGCTTGTCAGCATACCCTATAGATCCCTCTAAGGAACCCTATAGATCCCTCTAAGGAACCCTATAGATCCCTTTAAGGAACCCTATAGATCCCTTTAAGGAACCCCTATAATTAGATCCCCTTTAAGGGGCCCTTCAAGGAACCCAAAGCGCCCGTAAACTCACCAACATGATTTCTCTGTTGGCTTGGCTTCGGCGGCAGGGGCTTCATGAGGACGGAAGCTGCCAACCCCTAAACCCTAAACCCTAAAACCCTCCCTAAACCCTAAACCCTAAACCCGAAATCCGAAACCCTAAACCCTAAACCCTAAACCCCTGAAACCCTAGACCCTAAGGCAGCTCCCGTCCTTGCCGCCGGGTCTAAGGAGGCCTTGCTGTTCTTCAAGAGGTCGTCGATGGAGGGGAAATACCTGGGTGCCGGCTCAGGAATCCTTCGTCTGATTTAAGATAGTATAATCTCAGATGACATGGTATCATATTCGAATATAACTTGTGTTAACGTGCTATGGTAAGTTAAGGCCCAAAGAGCCTAAACCGCTTCCGGACAGGGCTTCTCAATACTGCCCCTGGATCGAACTGGTTGGATCAACCCCTCGGCAGTGGAAGAGCGTCGCACATCAACTGTTGTGGGCCGGTCTTGGAGCCCTTACAACTTAAAACAGCGCAAGGCTTGATCCTTCTCAAGAACCTACGATACCAGGCATTCAAAGTAGGACTCCTGTATGTGCCCCTCTCTTGTCTGCGAGCACGGCAAGCTTCCTGGGCAGCCTTGCAGCACCCCAGTTCTTGACAGTTCTATCCTCAGGTCTACGACCAAGCCTCTAGGAAATCCGAATGCAAGCGGGTCTACTTGGAGTTGGGGATAAGGTTCTTGTATAGATTCCTTTTTGGGTTCTGTAGTATACTATAATAGGGCTCCTGTATGGACCGGAATCTTACGGGTCCCGAGGGTTTAGGGGGAAACGACCTGAATCTGAAATTAGACGGGCCTTGCGCCCCAAGCCCCAATGTAATCTAGGAATTGCAGCAGGTCCGTGGAAACCCTAATAATCGGATGAGATCCTTATCTTACGCTGCCTTTTTGGAGGGACGCTCAAACTCTCGACCCTAAAACATTCAGTCCCGGCGGCGAAACAAGGCTCGAAGGCAGTTGCACTGCAGCACTAGCGGCGTTCGTCGCGGTGCTTGCGCAGCAGCCCATTTCTTTCTTCCCGCCAGGCAGAAATTCGAAGCTAAGGACTACCGCGCCTACTCGGCTTGGACGTCGCTGCGGTTCAAGACATGAAGCCCCCGAGCGTGTGTAGGGGACACTATAAAGATTCTGTAAGGGCTCTGTATGTGCTCTGCACAGTTCCTACAAGGTTGATTTTTGTGGTTCCTCTACACCCTTGTCGAACTAAACCTTTAAATAAATGTTTCAACCTGTTTCACCCCAAACAATTAAGCGTTAAGCTCCAGGAGCCTTTGAAAGCCCCCGAACCACAATGGGATCAACAGCAACAAACGGGCGCTTAGCTGAGGGTCATTTACCGTTTACTAATACGAATAACACTAATATTATCATAATTACAATAATAATGATATTCATATGAATAATACTAGTAGTTATGTATTGTAGGGTCTTTCTGTGCGCGGGGTCCCTCGTTTTTTGGCGAAACTCCCCGAGGCCAAACCCCAAGCCCTTGATTGGGGCTCTGAGTTTAGGGTTTAGGGTTTAGGGTTAGAAGTGCGTGAATTTCAGGACCACTTAGGGCAGTGAGAGAGAGGGTGGGTAGAGGACTATACCTCATTATTAAGTAGCTAATTCAACAAGACTTGTCAAACTCGTACCCAAGTCCCCACTAGGTGTATGAAGGTCCCCTCCGTGATCCCTCCACACCCCCGAAGATCCATGAGCCTTTCAGCGTAAGCCCTCGCAAAAACCACTAACTACACCTGGAGCCTGAGGTGCCTCATTCTAAGCCGCATAAGTTTAAATCAACGACCCAAATCAAGTTTGAAAATCGTGATACTAATATTACTAATACTACTGGCACTAGCAGTATATAGCAGCAACTGGCAGTAACCATAACAGCGATAAACTTGAGCAGCAGCAACAACAACCATCATAATAGCAGGACCCTTATTCTAATTTCTAAGAAGCCCTTAAAAACGTGCTTACAAACACCTCTATGCCCTAATCTTGGATCCTAAACCTGATTTTGGTTCCACAATGATTGCATGTGCTATTCGTCAGGGTTCCTGAATCTAACTATACTGTAACATACCGCGCACAACCCTAGCCTAATGAACTATTCAAGAACCTAGATGACCAGCCCAAGAAGATCCCTTCAACGAAAGCGTCTCACCGAACACTCCGATTCGTCTACGGCAGACTCACGAATCCCTGATTCAAAACCTGAACATGCCAAAGAGATCTTCACAAATCCCTTTCTGAACAAGCCAGAAGCTACTCTAAATCTTGCTTCTCGTCGCCAAAAGTTTCTTCAGGATTTCCACATCAAGGGCCCCGAAGCAAGAATGTTGAAATCCCAAGAAGCAGAAACAACTCTCCACCCAAATACAAGACCTAGGCCTTGAACTGGGGATTTCCAAATAAAATGCCCATTACCTGTCACCGATGTTCCGGCAAGTACAAGCCCGCTTCAGATTTCTCAACAGTATGCCAGCCTACATCCTCAAACAGTGAAGAACCATACCAGACATAGACGAGGGATCACGAAGACGTGTCCACGGGATGGTACAGCACGTACATAACTCAGGCAAGTGAAGCGAAACTGTCGGGCTGAACATGCTCCCATCGCCCCTCATTATGCGCAAAACCCTGTGTGCAACTGCACGTGTGTATGCGCGCGCGTGTGCGTCTGTATGTTCGCTGGAGTACGTGCAGCTCTGTCTCGGTGCGTCGGTCGCGACCGAAAGGCTGCCCCGTGGCACTTCGGCTGTGCAGCGGCTGCCCGCGTAACTTTAGGTCCTGCGTGAACCACGTTGCGCAGGCGAAGTCCACAGAGAGAGAGCTGGGTTTGTTGTTGACGGGTGTGCAGCGCGATTTCATCCACCGAGGTGAAAGAAGCAGATGCGATGTGACTCACTCGCGCAGCGCCGCTTGATAGGCACAGACACCTGCCTTCACGTACATCAGGTTCTTGAACGCTATACACACACACACACACACACACACCGCAGTCTACACAAAGGGCCAGAGCTGCCCCTGCTTTCAAAAAACACTCACATGAGATAAGGTCGCACCAACCTTCTGGTTCGGGGTTCGAGACGGGTTTGCCGAATTTAGGCAGGTTGCGGCTGGTATCTCGCGAAGCCCTGAAGCATTGGCTTCTTTCTCCCTCTTTTGCGCATTTGCAGTCAAACAGCACGTGGCTGCAGAGCCGCAGGGATCAGAGAGCTTCTGACTTCGGGGAGCTTCGGGCTGTGGGGTTCTGGCTTAGGGGACTTGAGGGGTTCTAGGTTCCGGGGGATCGTCTTCAACGATCCGGGTACAGCAAGAATGACCCACGCCAAAGGCGTGAATTAGGGCATGAAGAAGGCGTAGACAGGAAAGCCGAGGTTATCTAAAACTTGTCGCTCCCATCGACAGCCCACCCCCAATGGCTTCCTTGTGTCCGAGTGGATGGGCGCTTTCCGATGGAAGCTGAGCTTGTTGGAGATCCTTATCGTCCCTTCTCCCCAACCCTTGGGCTGGCCGTTCCGGAAGACTTCCCTTGGCAGCAGAGGCGGCTTTTCATTTTCCAAAAAGGCCCTACACCAACCAGCCTGCAGAACCTAAAGCTCAGAACACTTTCATGGCGTTGCGAGACACTTTGGTAGGTCGAGAGCCGTAGCGTCCACATCCGAGAGCTCGGAAGAGCCGGCGCTGTACAGTTCCACCCAACCCTCGGCTGAAGATGTTTTTCATGGGTCTTAATGAGCCTTGATTTGTGTCGAGGGTCTTTAGTAGTTTGTAAAGAGGTTGCCAAGACCCCCAGGTGATTGAACACGGTGCTAATAAAGCCGTAATCGGGTCTTGGTAGATCGGGTCTTATGCAGCTTAAAAACCCAAAATGACCAGTTGAGCTTACGGTTTGGGGTGCAAGGTTACAGTATACGTTTAGTACGAGGGCCCTCAGCTGGACCGAGAAAGCCCAAGTTAGGAAATATGCTCAGATTGTTGTAAGATGCCCTGTAAGATGCCCTGTGTGCTTTCAGGCCATGATACTCCACAACTCCAAAGCCCGACTCCCTCGGAGTAGATTGGACCCTCTGGGTTTAGGATTCTGGGGCTTGGGGGCTCAGGTTCCACGGCCCTGGAACCTTGATCCGTAACCGTAACCCCTCACAGTCCAAGAAACCTTTTCATAGATGTTCGAAACGGCGCAGCAGATGATGGCACCGCTCTCATGGTGCTTCAGCACCTCTCGGATCCAGTGGCAACACCAGCCTGCCGGTTAAAAACTTCAGCCGCCATATCTGGGAAACCAATCCCGCCTGTGTGGTAGCTTCCATTTCAACCCATCTTATGCCCTAAAGCCGTTTCAACCCCCTTCAACCCATCTGTCTGCGTTTGGTAGATCCACACCACATATCCGCCAGTGCCCGAGCTGTTCGAACCCATCGCTCAGGGCTTAGGGTTTCGGGCATGAAGATTCTACGTCAGAGGCAGCTTTCTTCTGCATATGTCCATCCGTTATCTCTTATCTCATCCTGCGCAACGTCTCGCGGCGTCCGTGGCACAGTCAATGTGTCGGTTGACACAGCAGTCGAGTCCTTCTGATGATGTGGAATGTCTTTGCTGGAGGTGCGCCGATTGACTGCGACGTTTCTGATACCTGCCCTGGAACCGCCGAAATCAACAACGGTCAACAACAAGTAACAAGACCAAAACCTCATATGAAAGAACTTGTAAGAAGCCGACAAAATCTGACAACAACTCGAAGAAACACCAATTCAAGCTGTATCAAATCCGTTAACCCCCCATGCAAAAATGCAGAAAAAACTATAACATGGACTCGCCAGGCAAGAGGCACTTGTAGCTTTCTCCGGGGTCTGGCTCTTGTCGAGCACTTCGCGATTCCACGGGAGACCTCCATTTCGCATCGCAGTCTCCGATGGGCACTGGGACGTTGTCCTGCAATGGGACCATTTTGGGATTCCTTTCAGCATTCCTTTTAGGAGTACGTCAGCACACTCCTGCAAGGGTAGTGAAGGGTTTCGGCTGTAGGGTTAATCGGGTTAGTGATGTAGGGTTTCGGCACTCAGACAATCCAGGCGAGGCATGCGGTTCGGAGTCTGAAGGGTGAGACTACACTAAAGGGAGAGTCATGATGATAGGAAGCAACGAAAGGATTATCCAACACTTAAAGTGACTGTGCTCTGCGGTGACTTCGTCCCTCCCAAGGTCTTACAGAAGTAAAGCAAATGTAGAACTGGTAAGACCTTGAGAATCATGAAATCGCAGATCACTTGTGGGGCACAGGAATAAGAAATGATTGCTGATAAAGTAAATACACTACGAGGGTATAGGATGACATAAATTGGTGATAGGGACCGGGTTAGTCCAAGTGCATCGTAGGGTTTAGGGGTCCAGGGTTTGGGGGATAGGGTCTGGGGTGTTCTTGACACGGGAAGTTGAGGTGTTGCTCGCGCTTCGGTGTGTTTTGCGGCTACGCTTGAACGCATTGCAGGCTTTAAACCCGAGACTTTGACATTGTTTTGGCTTTGGCTGTGGATTGGGGAGTTCCGGGGCCCTGGTCCCGGCCACAGTCGCCACTCGGATGGATCCAGTTGCCATCGTCTGCGGTGTTCCCGAAGACCAGCTCATCTCCGAACCAGACGGTGGCAGTGCCTGGATGGTGGTGGTATTTATGACACTGTGCTTGCGTCCGAATCTAAGCTGCTCCCAGCAGACAGCAATTCCGCTCACACCAGGAAGCTCAGCTGCGCTGTGAATTTCTGTGCATGTGCGCGGCAAGAGCCCTCAACCGTACGCCAAGACCACATATGGAGTCCACTTACTGCAGCTGAATTGAAATGTCGAGTTTGCAGGAACTTCTTGAACCTGACCCGATCCTACAGATTGATGGTAAGCAGGCGTAACTTCTTCATTATACGAGGGATAGATCGATCCATTGTGGATCATGCAGGATTTGCTGCAGAATCTGTGGATTCAAGTGATGAGGCATAGAATCCAGAACCTGGGACCCAACCCCCCAAAATTCAAACTGTGAGCCTTGAACCCAAAACCCCTTCAAGGGCTTGACAGAAGGGCATTCGCAAGCAGAATCGGGTTTGGGCGCATACTGTCATATAGATATGTGGGGACTACAAGGCCAAGCGCTCCCATGTTCGGCTCCGTTCAGCATCTCCATGACTCCAGCATAGGCGGGGCCTGGAAACCGAAACCCGGGTGGGTCTGCAGAAAGACCCTTAGCCCTAAACCCTAAACCGAATCCCAAACCCTAAACCCTAAACCGAACCCTAGACCCTAAACCCTAAACCCTAAACCGAACCCTAAACCCTAAACCCTAAACCGAACCCTAAACCCTGAACCCCTAACCGTAAACCCTAAAAGGTCTAGGGCTCAAGATCTTCGTCCGGGGCTCAGGACTTTAGGCTTCAAGTCTCTTTCCGGAGTTCAGTGCTTTAGGTTGGGTTCGTGTACGTTCATACATGTTACTATATATATATATATATATATATATATGTACATATATATATATATATATGTACATATATATATATATACATATGTACATATATATGTATACACTAACATGTATGTGTTTCACTTGTTATATGAGCTTTAGGATCGCGGCTCGGAATGGGCTTCCGACGCAAATTTTAGAAACACATGTGGACCCTGGGCATCTATAGGAACTCAGGCTACTTGTCGACAGCAAGATGATACCAAATTGGCGATTGTATAACGCTCTGTGCTGCGAACCGAAAACTATTGCAAGCTTACATCACACCGTCAATGCGTGCAGTACGATGGCCTGTGCACCCCCCATCTCGCTACCATAAGCAAAACCTCACGCCCTCTAGGGCTGGCAATGCAAATACCTTTGGTTGAAACCAGAGTCATATAGCTAGCTTTCAGCCCCCGAGAAACTGTGCATAACCCTATGCATACCTAGAAGGCTTTTAAACAAGATTGAAACCCTTCTAAGGCCCCATGAAAGCAGCGACAACCATGAGGCGCCTCCGGGGACGGAGGCCCCTGTGGTCTTGAAGAGCTTTCGCATCATCGCAGAGCAGGCATAGTTCTCGTAGAAGGTGAAGACCAAGCCGAACCTTCTTTTAAGGTGTAGGGCTGGGATTTTTTTGGTGTGATTCAAGGATTTTTGGGTTTAGGGCTTGGGAATTTCGGGTTTGGGGTTTAAAATTAGGATTTCGGGTGCTCCGCCCAACGGTCAATATTGATGCTCTAAGCTTGTATACGGGTCTCGAGGTTTAATATGTCAAAGGATCTAGGATTGCTGGTTGGAGGCTGAGGGTCCTGGGACTGCCGATGTCAAAGTGATTCGGAAGCTCATCCTGTGGTGACCCGACTTCGTACTATTACCATCACCCTGAAGACGGTCAGTATACTGATGCGTCTCGAAGTTGCAGCAGAACTTCCCTTGTTTCTAAGTCTTTTCGGGATCGTTTCTCAACTGGTCAAGGGCTCCAGCATTGCTAGCGCTCTTCCACCACAGCTGGCAGCAATAAACCCCATGAAGCCTAATCCCCTAACATAAGCGCTGCACCTTGAAACCCCCCCGAACCCCGAAAACCTCAAACCGTGATCTCTGAAACCCGAAAACACTCAAAAACCCTCGAACCCTTACGCACACAAACCCCAAACACCTGAAACACAAAAAGAAACTGAAAACTCTCTTTTCACAAGCCCCCACCCGGCGCAGGCCCAGCATTCCTCCACAAAGCTTTCCTTAGTTGCTGAATTCATTAGCTCCAGGAAATGTAGACTTTCAGTTCTCTAGGAAATTGCAATATCCCCAAAAGTGTAAAGATCCCCCTCATGGTAACCTAAATCGAAACCCTAAACCCCTAAACTAAGCCTAAACCCCTGAACTAAGCCTACGCCCTAAACCCCAAAGCCAAACTCCCCAAAAATCAGCCGACACCCTAAAGCCCCTAAACGAAGTCGAAACCCAAGAGGGCTCCTTTACTTACCGTTGGTTAGTAGGGAATGGAAGAATGGTAGTAACAGTAGTTATAATTGTACCCCATTCCTTCATTCCCTACTAACCAACGGTAAGCTTAGCAGCCCAAAAGTCCAAGGGTAAAAGGAGGGTTTAGAAGGACCCCTGGGTATATACCCTTAATATAGCTAATATATATATACCCATTAATTATATAGCCCATTTTGGGGTAGGCGTCCCCATCTTTTTTCCCCTTTGAAAAAGGGCTCCTTAGCAGCCCAGCTTCATCCGCAAGGAGCTTCGGGGAGGCAAATTTCAGAAGCCACCAGGCCTTCGTCGCCTGGATCGCCTCCGGGGCTCCCAAGAGAGGGTTCCTTCTAAAGGCCCAGAGAGCCCAACACCCCTTAATTAAGGAATATGGCTTAAATTATATAGGGCCTCATATTATGATTTAAGCTATATCGCCTGGATAGCCTCCGGTCGAAGCGGAAAAGGAGGGACCCTTAGTTTAGGGCTCTTAAGGTTCCTTTAAAGGGATCTTTCGGGTTTAGGGTTTGGGGCTTAGGGGAAAAGGAGGGACCCTCAAAAAGGGGACCCCATAATGAACATATAATAGCTATGTTAAGGTCCTGGATAACCTCCGGGGCTCCCGCGAGGGAGTTTTTCTTGTAGAGGGCTCCTTAAGGGATGCTCTGAGGATTCGTAAAGTTCCTGAAAGGGTCCCCATGAGGCATACGGATCTTATGTGGGAGTTTAGGGTTTACGCTCTCGCAACTCGGACATGCCTGACGAGGTCTCTGGTGCTGTGTGCTTTGACGGTCGGTGCTATTGAGGCTGGCTTCCAAGGGTTTAGGGTGTGGGTTTTAAAGGGGGTTTATAGGGTTTAGGGCGTGGGAGCGTAGGGTTAAGGATTTAGGTAGGGGTTTAGAGCTTAGGGGGCTTTTTAGGGTTCAGGAGCATAAGGACCCCCAGCAAAAGAACTGCAGTTGAGAAGGAACCCTTAAGCAAGGGACTGTAGGGCTTAATTTTTGAAGTGCTGAAGAACCTGAGCCCTAGCCCTCAACGTGCCTGAAGGACGAAGGACCTGTTCCCGCAGAGTTCTGGGGAGGCGAATCGGAAACATGTGCCATCCTTGCGGGATACGGGTGTTTGGGCGTTTGAATTTAAGGTTTGGGTTTTTTGGGTTTAGGGGGGTTGGCTGTTTTGGTGGCGTGGGGTTTATTCGCGTCCCGGGTTCAGAAGCTACATTCAGTATTGTTGAGGGGTTTATGGCTAGATTCCGGTTTGGAGTAGATAAGTATTAAGGCAAAGGTGCGCCCTTGTGAAGGGCGATTGAAAGGAGCCCTGAACCAAAATAGAAGTAGCGGAAGGATAACCAGGCTCAAGCCAAACAAGGGCTGAGCGCTCTGAGTTCGCCCGAAAACCCTTCTGCCACAACAGCTAAACCCTTAGCCCCGATTTGAGATCCCAACCCCAATCGAAAATACAAAATACCCTAAATGTCCGAATCGGCCTTTAAAACCGACGGCACCGAAGCGCTCAACAGGGCTTGGGGTTTCACGTCGGCTCCTGACGCACCGCCGCCAAGACCACCTGCAGGGCGCGGTCTCTCCAGCAGTGATAATCAAAGACGGGCCCAACTTAGGGTTTAGGGCTAGGGACTGGTTTTCTCGATATTTCCGTTTTGGTTTGGGGAGGCTCGCCCGATTTCCCCTTCTAGGTTGTACAAAGTCTTATCGGGTTCCAACAACGGTTTATCAGGCGCAAAGCTTAAACAAGTCCTTCATGAAGGCACTATGAGGCGGAACGGACCATTGGGTTTGTGGTGGTTCTCACCATCCATGCTTCAGGGCCTATAGAGTCTATTCCCTGATAGGAGAAGCCAAAGAATCTGCAAAACTTCTGCTGAGCTGTGTTCCTCAAATCTGCTGTATGGGTCCGAGGTGGCTAGTGATTCATAATACTTACCTAGGAAGAGTGGTACTATGAGGACAGATATTTCCAGGTATTGAGACTCCTATGCTAAGCTTGCAGGCTTAAGATGTCTGGCTTAGGGCAGGACTTTGGTCGCGGATTGAAGAACTGCCCGACAAGCCGCTAGCCGAAATCGTGAGGGTTACGGGTTTGGCTAAGGGCCGAAGATGGAATGCCTAGGGTTCAAGGGGGGCTTGGAGTTTAGCATTGAGGTGTAGCAGTTCAAGGGCTTGGTGTTCAGCGGGGGTGTTCAATAATGTAAAGTTTAGCATGTTAGTTTTGCCGGGGTTGAAGGCTTTTGCTTGATGCCAACCGGAAGCAGTGAGCACATGACTGCAGAAGTGGCCCTCAATCCCCGAACCCTAAGCCCCTAACCCACGGAATCCAGAACCCTAAACCCTAAACCCTCAAGAAACTGATAAATAGAAATTGCTTGTCCTTGGTTGTAACCACCGCTACGGCCCATCGCACAGGTTAAAGATTGAACAAGCTTCTTGATAAACCAATTTCTCTACAAACTTGTTACCGCCGGTACGGCCCGGCCAACATTGAGCTGGAGCTCAAAAACGGAACAAGCTTCTTGATAAACTAATTTCTCTGCAACCTTCAACCCAGGCAACCCAACCCAGCTCCCAGCTCTGGGCCCCACCCAGCCCAGCGCGACCCAGCCAGCCCCAGCAGCCCGACCATGCCCAGCCCAGCCCAGCCCCAGCAGCCCAAGCAGCCCAGCCCAGCCCAGCGCCAGCCCAACCTGCAAGTTCCAGTTCTTTCTGCATTTGAGCTTTTATTAAGTCCATATTCAGCTTCCATTAAAGCCATATTCAACCCTTACTGAAGCCACATTAAGCCCTTAAACAAATCCTTTTAAGCCCTTATTAAGGCCATATTAAGCCCTTATTAAAGTCATATTAAGCCCCTATTAAGGCCGTATGAAGCCCTTATTCAAGCCTTTTTAAACCCAAAATTAAGGCCTTATTACAACATTATTAAGGCTTATAAGAGGCTTATTAAGGCAATATTAAGCCCTTGTTAAAACCTTATCTTGTTAAAACCTTATTAAGCCCTTAATAATGCCATATAAAGGCTGTATTTAAGCTTTATTCAAAGCTTATTAGAAGCTTATTAAAGCTTTATCAAACCCTTACTAAGCTCCCTTATTAAGAACCAAATTAACCGTCTCGACGCAGTACCCGCGTCGGGTTCAAGCCATATTATGCCCTAAGAAAAAGTCATATTATGAAGGCGCTATTACAGCTTTATCAAGGCTTATAAGAAGCTTATTAAGGCCATATAAGAAGCTTATCAAGGCCATATTAAGCCCTTATTTAGGCGTTATGAAGCCCTTAAAAAAGCCATGTTGAAGCCTTTTTGCAGCTTTGTTCAAGGCTTATTCGAAGCTTATTAAAGTATTATTAAGCCCTTAAACCAATGTCTTTAAAACCTTCCCGCACCCACCCAAGCCTTCAGCCCAGCCACCCCCAGCCCGTCCCACCCCCCAGCCCCAGCCAAGTCAATTCCAAAACCAGGGTTGTAGCCGCCAACCCCAGCCTTCAAAACAGTTCCAAATCAGGCCTCCTTGGCTTTGTTGCAGCCCACCCGATCCCCGCCCAACCCCCAACCAGTCCCGCCCCAAACCAGTCCCAGCCCCACCCCAACCAGCCCGGCCCACCCCCCACCCACCAGTCCCAGCCCCGCTCAGAACCCCGCCCAAGTCCCACAAGCCGCCCTGCCAAAACGTCAAAACCCCGCAAGCCTCTGAGCCCCAGCCCTTCCAGCGCCAGGCCCAGCCCCAGCCCCAGAGCCCTAGCCCCCCAGCAAATTTGAAAACACGGTTCGCAAAAAGAAAAAAAGCTTTCGTTCAAAACGTTTCGCTCAAAACTTTCGGTCAAAACGTTTTTGGGACCCAAACCCTTAACAATTTCTATAAACTCTAAACCCTAAACCCTAAACCCGAACCTCCGGGTTATTTCTCAGCTCCGGCGCTGCGAACTCGAGCGCCGAGCCGTTCTCCTCCAAGTACCGGGCTCCGGGTTCGGGATATTTGTGCCTCTTACTTTTATAGGATCCTTAAGGGAGGGTGGTTCCAGGGGGGAGGGTATAAGGAATCCTTAGGGGACTGTAAGGGAACCTTAGGGAGTACTAGGGAGAATTAGGGATCACTAGGCTATATACCCCCCTTGGACCCCCCTCCCTTAACAATACTTCTAATTGTCTAATAGTTAGGGCCCTACATTACAGGATGTGGGCTTCGGGGTTCAGGGTTTAGGGTTGAGGGTTGGGGGTCTATGATGTAGGTTCTAAGGCTTCTAAGGTTTAGGATTTGGGGCTCGCACTTGATAAGTACTTGACCCACGGATTGGCCACCGATCGAGCCAGTGCACATCCGACGGACAAGCAAACCAATGGAGCATCCCCGCGAGATCACGCCGTACTTGGAGGGTCGGGGGACTTAGTAAGTACTTATTTTAAGGACTTATAAGTACCAGAACCCCAGTTAGGGTTCCTTTTAGGGTATTTATAAGTCTACTTACTACCTACTTACTAAGTCCCCCGACCCTCCAAGTACTCGATACAAGACTTGGAATGCAAGCATCGGATGCTACAACGCAGGGAGCCGAAGCTCAGCTGCAAGAACACACTCTCTGAAAGGGCAGCCAGCGGAGCCCCGTGCACTTCCCAAGAGCATGAATGCAACGGAAACTCTAACTTAATGACTTCATGCACAAACCCTGGGGGAAGTCCGCTGTCACAAGACTATCTAAATCCCTGAATCGAAAACCTCCCGAAACTTCCCACAAACCCCGCCGGGCGAAAAAACTCTACCCTCAAAAGCCCAACCGACTCTAGTAACTCTAGTAACGTATGGGAGTTGTCGAAAGTTAGGGGAACCTTATTTGGGGGTCCTTATAATGAGGATCCGACTATTTCAGCACTCACGATCTAGCGTACTATATTCGGGCCCCCCTCTTTCCGGAAAAGCCCTTAACCGTACGTTGCGCCCAACTCCCCAGGCCCCTCGGAAAGGGAAAAATTCCCAGAGACTCCAATATCCCTTGATTAAGGAATATACCTTAAACTATAGTAGGATCCCTAATATGATTTAAGGAATATACCTTAAATTATAGTAGGATCCTTAATATGATTTAAGGAATATTCCAAAATTAAGGGATATTGGAGTCTCTGGGCCCTCCCAGTCGCCTCCAACGCAGCGAGGACAACGCCCAAGTCGCTTTTCCGGCGCCGATGGGCAAACTCCAAAGCTAGCCCGCCTTGGGCCATTTTCAATATGGAGTCCCTTCTCCTACTCCTACTCCTACTATGACCCTGACAACCCACAAGAAGGCTCTTAAAAGGATCATACTCGTCTTGGGGTTTAGAGTTTAGGGTCGGGGTTCTAGTGCCCATCGCATTCTTTTACCGCGTGCATTCATAGGTTGACGAGGTGAGCCATCGTCAGATATTAAAACCCTAAACCCCAAACTTCCTCAACTTAAACTGCCCGAAACGCTCAGACCGCTAAGATATGTGTGGAACCGAAGCTTGGCTTTGGGCTCCGTTGCCAAATTACTGAGCCCTATGAGGCAAAGAAACCTTGCGAAATTTGTTGCACAATCACAGGGTTCGAAATGGGGTTCTAGTACTGTCAGTGCACCGGAAACATAGGAATCGTGCTTTCGGAAAGGCTTGTCTGTCGCAGTGGTCGCTGGAATGTTCTTTCGGGCATGCTATAGATCCGTTCCGAAACCAAGCTCCTCATCACAGCATCCAAGTTCATGGAGGTCCTGACTGACACAGCCCTGCAAAGAAGTACAAACCCTAAAACCCTTGATCTCTGAGGCAATCAGTGACGCTCCCGTGGTGTGGCCAAAGCCCCGAGCCCCAAACCCGGACATGAAACGCAAAGCCCGGCCCCGCAGCACAGGAGTGCAGCTCCCCTCACACCGCTTCTATGCGCGCTGCCGGTTTTGCATCAAAAAATGCCATTGCCTCTACCTTGAAACCTGGTATTGATACACAACTATATCCTTGTATTGTTGTATTGGTATATGTGAGTTTCCGAAAATTATATAGGGGCACCTTATTTTGGGGTCCTTATAATACGGATCCTACTATTTAGGGTGCTATATTAGGGTCCCCTATTGTCGGAAACTCCCATATCCTTTGTGTCATTGTATTGGTATATCAAGACCTACCACGAGATTGTGTGATGAACTCAGCCTGACTGGACTGTAAAGCTCAGTGGCTCTGTCGCACCGCTGCCAAGACCACCTGAAGTGCGTGGAGCGAGCAGGAGTCAGGGTCAATGGAGGTTCAGGGGTAGTTATAAGTAGGGTTATAAGTCCCATAATATGGGTTATAAGTATAGCTACCCTACTTATACCCCTACCTTTAACTACCCATGAACCTCAAAGTAGAGGCTTGAGGAGGCGGGGGCTATGGAGCCGATAAATCCTAAACCCTGCATGATATGGGAGTTTCCTAAAATAGGGCCCTAATATAGCACCCTACATAGTAGGATCCTTGGTATAAGGACCCCAAAAATAAGGTATCCCCTGTTTTCGGAAGCTCCCATATCGCAAAGGGTTTAGGGCTTTTAATTAGGGCATTTAAGGTCCCCGAACACAAGCCACAGTTACAGTTACAGCTAAAGTAAGACACGCCAGAAGTCAGGACCAAAAGTGCCCAAAGGGCAGAGTAGTTAAAGTTAGATGTTTGGAGTCACTTGGAGTCATGCTATGAGTCAGTAACTTGAAGCAGTACATGACTAATAGGCACTTGAACCCATAGACTTATGGCAACTCAGCCACTGACGATCCAGAACTCCCTGTGTTCCACACTCAGCGAGTAACAACACTCTGAACACTAAACCATTAACTTACCGTCTTGCGACTGCCTTGCAACGTAACGCCAGGACAGCTGTCTCTTTCCACGCTGCACTCGCGATATCACGAACGCAAAGGCGTCCAGGGACTAGGTTTTGTAGGACCCAGACCCTGAACCCTGAACCCTGGACCCTACTGGGTCTCTTTCGGAGGGCTTTTGGCTGCGCAGCTTACTCGTTGAGGCGTAAGGCGCACGTGCCACGAATCACCTAACATATCCCAAGTCAGGACTGGAGAGATCCTATGTAGGGCCTTCGGGTTTTAGGAATTTAAGGTCTTAGGGACCTCTGCGCTCACCCTCGGACGAGGCAGGCGAGTTCTGGCGCCTCTCGGTCACGCTTCAGCTTCGCCGCCGCCGAGTCCAAAGCCCAGCCGTTCACCTGGCAGAGGCTTCACCTTCATGCTGCCTCAAAGCTTACCGTTGGTTAGTAGGGAATGGAAGAATGGTAGTACTAGTAGGTATAATTGTACCCCATTCCTCCATTCCCTACTAACCAACGGTAAGAATGAGTTCGGTACACGGTTCGATTACAGGACCGTAAAGGTTTTTTCAGAGGTTCTTGAAAAGGTTCTGCTAAAGGTACCACCACAAGGCTCTTAAGAAGGGTTCTGCGAAAGGTATCACCAGAGAGGGTCTATAAACGGCAACACAAAGCGCTCCATAAAGGGTTGTATTTCAGAAGGGCTCTTTAAGGTACCACGACAAAGGATTCCATGCTGGGTTCTAGAAGATCCAATGAGGGGCTCCGTGGTGGAATGTCACTTTTGGGCTTTGTGGCTGCGGCTTCGAGGTTAAGGCTTTGAAGCTTGGCGTTTGGTTAGGAGGTGAAGGCTCAGGCTTGGGCTTTGTGCTTTCTGAATACACAGGTGGTTGCCAAAATTATGGTCCCTTTTCGGGTCCTTGTTATAATACGGCACCTAATACTTAGGGTACCCAAAAAGGCACCATAATTTTGACAACCACCGACATGCTGGACTTGAGCATTTCACTTTCTAGCTGTCGCTTACAGGTTTCAAGGGGTTGATGCTTCAGGCGTTTATAGGTCCGTCGTAGCTCCGGGATGTCGAGCGAGCTATTTTGCCAGAAAAGCTGGGACCTAGATGGTCAGCAGCACAGATTATACATGCCATGCCACGCTCACCACACACATCCTGAATTTTGTAAAGGCCAACCCCACGCACTGTAACTTCTTCCCCCATCCGATTTTAACTCTATCCAGCACATATCCAAGATGTAGGCTAGAATCGGGAGGCACAAGATAAACACCTGCATTCAGGACCGCAGGGTCAATGTAACGTTTAACAAAGAGGAAAGTACTAGTACCAGTACCAACTTATAGAAGACCTAGTAGTCGTCGTCGTGGTAGTTGTAAAAGTCTGGGAGTATGGGAGTAATTAGAATAGATGGGCCACTGATTGCAACCCCCCCCCTCCGGTACACAATAGTGAGGCATTCACAGCTGCACAGAACCCTGAACCCCTGCTTAAACCCCAAACCCTCTGCACCCCAACCTGCACGGCTGCCAAGACCAACAAGTGGTCCTCCCTCAGCCGCGCCGGGGCTGTTGCCAGGGCTTGCAAGGCATCTCCTCGCCAACATGCCCCTCTATTTGTGTCCGTCCCTGGCCCCTTGCGATTGGCTACGAGGGCGTGGGGCTCAGCACATAGGGCTGCGCACCAAATTCAGGGTTGACTGAGGAGGCCAGTCTACAGAGTACAGCTCCTTCAATGGTTCGCTCCAGTGATGCCCTAGAGTTTCCATGGACCCTTTCTGAACTTTAGACTCGAATTACTAAGCCTTTTAAGCCTTAAACGTCAGGATTTGGGGAACTGTAAACTGTAAACCCTAAACACTAGATCCTCAACACTACACCCTTGAAGCGCCAGAGCTGAAGAAGCTTATGAGACACTCACTAGCCCAACCGAGCCTTCGACTCCTTGGAGGATCCTGGGACTTAGTAAGTACGGTTATATGTACCTTAATTGGGGCTATAAGTAAGTATAAGTACAGTTACCTTATTTATAAGCAATTATAAGTATAGTTACTTCATTTATAAGCAATTATAAGTATAGTTACCTTATCTATAAGCAATTATAAGTATAGTTACCTTATTTATAGCCTTACTCACTAAGTCCCATGATCCTCCAAGTCTCAAGCTTCGAGGGTGTCGCCTCGCTGTATCTGCTCGAGCAGCCGGCACCTCACCTGTCAAGGCTAGTCGAAGGTTGAGGGCTCTAGGTTTAGGGTTTAGGGTTTAGGGTTTAGGATTTACGGTTTAGGGTTCACAGTTTAGGTTGGGGATTTCGGGCATCGCAATCCGGGTTCCAAAGTGCAACAGGAGATTGCATGTCACTGGTCTTCTGCATTAGTTTTGGCCGTACCTACGAGCATTCACACCTAGCGTTCAGGAGATGATCCGCCGTTTGTAGGTTTCCTTCTTATTCACCTAAGTGGGCGCCGTTTAGGGCTGAGCATTTAGAATGGCTTAGGGTTTCGGTGCTCACGCTCGGACGGACCAGGCGAAGCATGTGATTCGAAACGACTTTGCCATGAGAGCCTGTACGACCTTGGCGAACATGTGGTTCCGGGTCTAGGATGTGTGTGTTCTGTCGGCACCTGAAGAAGTTTGAAGTCCCCTGCCGAAGAGCCGCGGGACCCACGAGCAGTCCCGAAAACCGGTTAAGGAAAGGTGTAGGCGGTTTAAGTCTTCGGGTCTAGATTGCGAGCATCTAAAGGTCTCAGGATTACTGTAGAGTTTAGTACAGAATTTGAACTCAGTTACGACATCTTTGTCCGAGACATGTCCGTATGCGCAAAACCCGGCTTACAGCTTGTGAAACTTTAGCCAAAGAGTGGTTTGGGTTTGGGTGGTTAAGACTTTGGGTGTTCAGAGTTCAGCACGATCAAGGGTACCACCATCCGGCACTTTGCAATAGAAGAATTTCGACCACCTGTCGACCGAAAGCATCGCGAAGCTCAACCCATGCATAGGTAGAGGATTTAGGGCTTAAGAATAAGGTCCAGGGGCAACAACAACAACAACGGTGCCAAGTAATGGTCTTCATAGCAAGCATGGGACTTCTTACTGAGACAGAAACAAGCGCTCCCAACGCATTGAGATTAGTCAGAGGCAGTCTAGGGATAGGTGACGCTGAAAGACTCCCTGAAATGAACCATGCGCGAAGTCTCGGTGGCCACCTCGTCTTGCTCTGCACCCGGTGGGGTCTGATTCGCCTGCGGCTGCAAAGGAGCCCTAAAGCCGCAAACAACTACCATAGATGATGTTGTGCTTGTTTAGCGCTTCTGGCTTGGAGTGTCAGGACCTGCCGAACGCTCTTTCGAGACCCGCTGTTTTCCTCTCTGTCTTTCCTCTCTCTCTCTCTCTCTCTCTCTCTCTCTCTCTCTCTCTGTATATATACATGTATGTATGTATGTATGTACATGTGCATATACACACATTTATTCGCCTTGTTGACTTGCTTGTCTGCATACTTCTACATATCTATACCGATTTCTCTTCTTGTTTGTTCACGTTTGTATATGTACACACGTGCCTGAAGCAAAACCCCAACGGTATCAACCCTAAACCCCTGACGACGCTGCAAAGGGTCCGAACGTCATTTTTGAAGGGGACATTTCACCGCGGACCTATCTGCCCATCTATCTACCCATCCATGGATCAATCTACGTATCTATCCGTCTATGGACCTATCGATCCATCTATCACTCTCTCTCTCTCTCTCTCTCTCTCTCTCTCTATCTACACATACACTCTATGTACATACAGATATATACTGTATATGAACTACAAGGGATATCGCCAGAGTGTCGTAACTGTATTTGCTAGGTTAAAGTGCTTGAAACTCGAACCTGGCAAGCTCCAAAAACAAATCTCAAAGCCCAAGCAAGCTGATAGACACCCTTAGGCCCAAGGAGTGCACATGATCCCTCTACACTCAACCCTTTAGAACCCTAACAGTAACCCTTCTAAGTAACTCTTAAAGCTACCGTTCAAGGAAACCAGGGCGCCTCCCGCAAGCGCCGAGCAGCAGCTTCATAGAGATGCCTTTTGTAGGCCCGGCGGCTATCGGAGTCGTAGCTGGCGCCCGATCCCATGTGGGAGTTTCCGAAAATTAAGGGTGCCTAACTTATTTTGGCGTCCTTAAAACAAGGTTCCGGCTATTTGGGGTGCCATATTAGGGTCTCCTACTTTCGGAAACTCCTATGTGGGGCTTGGGGTATTGGGCGCAAGGCGAGGGGTTTCAGATTTGGGGTTTGGGGTGCAGAGTTCACGGTTACGGACTTTAGGGTTCCACTCGAAACTCGGCAATTCCAGGTTCAGGGTTCGGTTGGCAAACTGTCCCCTACTTGTCGGGTATCATGGGGAGGTAAAGGTATATAGCGACTATACTACCCACAGAAGGTTAAAGGTGACCTACTCTACTACTAGGGTCCATGACTTTTACTTGACTTCGGTGCCTCGGGGTTCAGGCCGCTGGCTAATGGCGTGTCGGGCCTTAGATTCGGCTGCATTGAGGTGGCTGGTCCCTGACCTTTCGGGCTTCAAGGCGTCATGCACGGTAATTGCACACATGATGAAGAGGCTTTCGGCTACGATACATAAAACTTCCCACACACTTGTGCGATCATCTCCTGTTGCTGCGACTGGAGCCCATGTGACCCAAGGCTGCAAGGCAACGTAGGTCCGCTGTGCTCGGGTAAATCGCTGCGAATGTCAACTTACTCCCTATTTGCAGGGCTGAATATGCTGAGCTACCAGATTCCTATTCATCAAGGTAGCTTTTGGCAAGCATAGCTCTGATTTGGATTGGGGTCTTCAGCAGGCCTGCTGTGTTCTGGAACACCGATGTACCGGCACGCGCATCAAGACAATCAGGACCTTCTATTTACTCTAGACTGCGCCCTGCGACTGCACAAGGCTGCGCCGGCATTGAGCAAGGCGAGTTGAGGGCCTATGCATCTTGCTACTTGTGCTTCGGCGCGAACAGAGGTAAGCGCAAAGGGTCCCAGAATGCTCGTCTAAATGCTTGGCTGACTCTGGTGTGCACTGCCCCTACCCTGGGCCCCCTTAGACCCTAAACATAAACCCGAGGATGCGAGTCGGAGAGAACGGAATCTTAAGAGCCCAGATGCCCCTAAACGCGATACTGTACAAGGCAAAAGAAGGAATAAACCGGTGCGGCCATAGTACCATTAAAGGAGCCCTCGTAGCAACCTCAAACGGAACCCCTGTAGGACTCTGAAAGGAAGTGTCCTGGGTTCAGGATGCAGGGTTGTGAGGAAAGCTCAGAAAGAATCGGAACAAAGAAGAAAGTCAAGAAACCAGGCACCCTACACATGCAGATCAAGTGCCTCCGTTTTTGCTTCGAGGTGTGAGCAGTCTCCGCATTGCACAAAGTGTTCTGGATCGTCTGCGCGTTTTTTTGTGAGATGAGCACGCTACCCCTCGAAAGAAACGGGGCTTAGGTGCTCTGCGACTCCAAGCAAGGGGTCGACGATCGAATGATGTTGCAGCTATAGGACGACTGTAGCTATGGGCTTTGTCAAAGCCCTGAAACACCAAAAAGAGCCCCAGTAGACCCCTTTGTCCGATAAAGCTCAAAGAGGGCCGTCTACGGCCCCCATGGAGTCCGGAAAGGGCCCGCCCTCTCGGAATCCGAAAATGGCGGTCACCTTAAGAGCCCTTACCGGAACCTGCAAAGCCATCTCCCATCCTTTTTTGCTGGAGATGTCGAGCGGTGATGCGTGTGTTCTTTCATACGCAGGCCTAGAAGGGCGACGATTTCTGGTACAAAGCCTATACTGTAGGGGCCTTAATGGTTAGAATGGGGTTTGAGGGTATAGTATACTATAGTTATAAAAAGGAACCCCCAAAAACCTATTCTAATTATTCAGGCCTCCCCATTACTTGGAGAATGGTGGGTGTAGGGAGCTGAGGGCGACGAACTGCTGCCGAGCTCTATTTATTACGTATTAATTATATTTATTAATAAGGATAATATTATTAATTAATGTATATGTTTATATAACATATTTAATATGTATATATTATTAGTAATGATCATAATAATGACAGCGAGGCTTCCGATCCCCTCTGCAGCCTAGAACCCACCAGAAGATCACACTACGTCCATTGACGTCCATCGGCCGGCCTTGAAAATACCTGCTCGTCACGAACCCTGAACCCCTGAACCCTAGATTTATGGGGACATGGCCTTTCAAAACCTAAAGACTGGTTGAAGCCCTGGGGGCTTGGTATCATTGCCAAAAAATCACCGCTCTCTGTGGAACTGCCCAGGCAGTCGCTGGGATCTGTAAAGCAACCATTCACCTCCATGCCACGACTTTGGCCAAGTTGATTCTGGGATCAGCATCTTTCCGGCCTGATTTTGCTTGATAATCGGGGATTCGGCACTTCCTCTTGGACATGATTTTGTTAACCAGCATCTTAGGTGAGCTCAATCCCGGCAAGCAAAAGAAGCCTAAACCCTAACCCCAAACCCGACAATCTAAACCCTAAGCTCTAATCATAGTCTCTTGTTGCTGAAACCCAAACCCAAACCCCATATCCCCGTCAGCTCCCCGAAAACATAAACCCAAACCACAAACCCGGAAAAGCCACCTAAAACCCAGAACCCCAAACCCTTCAACCCCCCTAAAGCCCCCATACTTTGCGTCACCGGGGCACACTGTGCTTTTCGTCGGCTATGCGGTCCACTCTTCCATGGGTCGGCCCTCGGCAATCTGCTTTCGGATGTAGGCCTCGGAGCGTTTGGGTTACGGTTTTAGGGTTTAGGGGGTTCTATAAGGGATCTATAAGGGTACTATAAGGGTTACTGTAAGGATTCTAAAGGGATTTGTGGTTTAGGGGCTCACGGCTTTAGGGTTTAGGGGTTACTACCAGGGATCCATATGGGATCTATCAGGGTACTATAAGGGTTACTATAAGGATTCTATAGGGACTTGGGGTTTAGGGGTTTAGGGTTTGAGGGGGTTTAGGGGGTTTAGAGGGTTCAGGGATTTTGTCTTTAGGGCTGGGTTTAGGGCTTTAGGGTTTAGGGTTTGGGGTTTAGGGTTTAGGGCATAAGGATACGAAACCTTATGAAACCCTGAAATAACCTTGCGAAACAAGTCGGAAGCGTTGTACAAGGATCTTATGAAACCCAAAAAGACTCTTACGAAGAGCACCGTGAAGCATTTGTGAGACCCGTAGAAATCTGGTGAGCCCACTTTTTTGAAAAGGCTAGCACTATAGGGGGCTGATGAACTAATCACTATCTTTATTCCTCAAAGCTCCCTATTGACGTGTCAAGCCCCGCAAACCCTAGCCGTAACCTATATGTCTCAGTATCCAGAGCTGTTGTTCTTCTGCTTGGTGGTTGCTGCTTCTCCAGTTGCTTCTGCTATGCTGCAGAAGCGACGATCGACGATGCAGATTGCTGCTCTCTTCCCAGCAGCTACTTCTGTTCGTTGGAGTAGTCTCCAGCACGATGAGTTTACAAAGTGGGTTGAATGCTCGTGGTTTTGACCAGGTCCTGGTGGGCTAGCATTGGAATATTGGGAGCGATAAGATGCTCAAAACAGTAGATACATCTGCTCTTGCATATCTGCTTGGTTTCATGGTAAATGAACTCCAGACCCGCACAGGAACCCAGGGAAGCCTAAAGAAAACCCGGTTCAGGCCACTGTATAAACCCTTACCGGCACCGAAAAACGACTAAACCCCTAAGGCCCTAAAGCCCTCGACGCCTGACCCTGAACCCCTTACCCGAAGACCCAAACCCAAGCCCTCATGACCCTAACCCCTAATGCCTAAACCTTAACCCCTAAGTCCTATAGCACCTTATAGAACCCTGATGGTACCCTAAAAGGGAACCCCTCAAAGAACAGCTCTCTTCGCAGCGCCTGCCCCTAAACCCTAAACCCGAAACCCTGAGGTCTGAAACGTAAACCCTTTTTCAGCATGGGCTTTGATTGCGCGCCAGCGAACAAAACCCTAAACCCTAACACCCTCAAAACACTAAAACCGTAAAACGCTAAACCCAAAGCCCTATAGAATCCTTATAGCAACCCTTATAGTACCTTTATAGATCCCTTATAGATCCCTTATAGAAACCCCTGAATCCCTTATCACCCCTTAAAGCAACCCTTATACATCCCTTATAGATCCCTTACAGGAGGAACCCCCAAAACCCTTATAACCCTTAAAGCAACCCTTATAGTACCCCTGTAGATCCCTTATAGGAGGAACCCCTAAACCCCTTATAACCCCTTAATTATAGTACCCTACCCCTTATAACTCCTTAAAGCCCTCTTCTCAGCGCCTGCAGGTTCGCCTGGAGCTCTTTGCGCACGCGGTCGGCTCCCGCTTGGAGCGCCGCGGCGGCGGCGGCGCCGGTAAGTCCCTCGGCTTCCTCCCAGAAGCGCAGAGCGTGAGGAGCTTTTTAGGGTTTAGGGGTTCAGAGGCTTAGGGTTTAGGGTTTAGGGTTTGGGGGTTTGGGGGTTTAGGGTTTGGGGGTATAGGGGCTTAGGGGTTTAGGGTTCAGGGGTTCAGAGGCTTAGGGTTTAGGAAGCTCCCTCCAAGAAGCGGAGAGCTTGAAGGAACTTGTGTTTTTTGAGCTCCTTTTCTGCGGACGAAGGTCTCCGAGAGGCGCAAACTTCCCTTCTCGCACGGGGGCTTGGGTTTAAGGGTCCCAGAGATCCCAGTACCCCTTAATTAAGGAATATACCTTAAATCATAATATTAGGGCCTCTATAACTTAAGGTATATTCCTTGATTAAGGGGTATTGGGCTCTCTGGGGAGAGCTTTAGGTAAACCCTAAACCCTAAACCCTAAACCCTAAACCCTAAATCCTAAACCCTAAACCCTAAACCCTAAACCCTAAATCCTAAACCCTAAACCCTACTCCTCGAAGGGTTCCTTTAGGCTTTGAAGGCTGGCGCCAGTGTTTTCCAGGCTTGGGGGCTTACTACAGAGCCCTACATGATTAGAGTCAGGCTTTGGGGTACATGACTTAAACAAGCAGGCGATCTAAAGTCTGTTTTTGGAGGCAGGGATGCTGCGGGGATTCGAAGAGGAGGGTTTAGGGTTTAGGGTTTAGGGTTGTACATCCTTGAGTTCTTGCAGTGGGGCGCTTCTAAGTGGAGGAGATTGAAAGCCAAACCCGTAAGTGGCATGAATGAGCTGACCTGCTCTTGCAGGGGGCACACCCTAAAACCAAATGTATCGGCCTCAATAATTAGAACTGGGTTCTGGGGGCTGTATTACAGTATAGATATAATGAGGAATCCTAAGGAGCAGCATGGGTAAATTGATAAACCCTTCCAGTGGAAGCTGCATGGGCCTCGCTAGGCCCAGACCCTATTCCACAAACCTTGAATCTACAAACCCTTGAAGATCCCATTGGAACCCTACAAGGGGCCTCTATCAAACCCTGCACAACCCTATAAAGCCCCAGGTGCAAGCCTCTAAAACAAGCCGAAGAAACCTATGGAACCCTAGCAGTCTGTAGAACCCGAATCCCCCTGGAACCCATGAAGGAATCCGTGTACTCCCTCAAGAAGACCCTTAAAGGAATCTTGTCACGAAAGGACCCTGAAAGGAACCCTCAAAAGAACCCTTAAACCGAAACCAAACCCCAAAACCCTACACGGCACTGCGGAGCCCCGGCGCCTTGCACCCTTCACCCTTCTCTGGCTTCTCCATGCCCTTCGGCTTGGGCACAAATGCTGGCTCCTGGTGAACTTGGGGTTCAAGGCTTGGGTTGAAAGGGTTCTAGTCGGGTTGTATATCACGGTCCTATGACGAGGGCGCTGAGGCTTGATCTCCACTCTACTGGACTGATATTGCCGAAGCCGATACATTACATAAAGACAGGACAACATATGGTATGATATGTAGATGTGTATGTACATCGTAGAAAAATGGAACCTGCGGTGAGATTTTTGTCACCCACATGGCACGCCGATGACAGCTCCGCGAGGACGAAAGATGAGCAACTCACGATGAGGGCAGCAGGAACGAACCAACACACAGCCCCATAAAAGTACCACATAGCCACGTAGCCAACAAAAAACCGTTGAATGCTCAAGTCAGCCTGATCCATCTGGTGTTTCAAATTTCTCGAGCTCGCTCTGTTTCAAGCTCGGAGGAAGTGCAGGTTCTCTCTACCATGTAACTCTGATGCTTGCTTGGAGGTGTTGACGACTGACAAGTAGAACAACCAAGTGGAAAAACCATGTTGAAGGCTGACCTGATGCCCCCAACATACTGTTAGGTAGTAAAGATATTCAGGCCCCGATATTGGCTCATGGGCAACTGCCTCAAACCCTAAGCAGGTTTATTGGTGCAGCGCGCCTGGCGCTGGCAGATTGAGTTTTGTAGAGCCGAAGGCCTTTAAAGTCATCGGTGCATCTCTAGGCTCGCCCGGTGGACCCCCGCAAAGACATGTGGAAAAACTGTATAATGCAGGAAGCTGATTAAGAAACCTTGGGCCTTCATTAGGGTTCCTTATATGATTCCTGCTAGTTTGGGGTTTTGGGCCCAGCGTTTCTTATCAGGATCCTACATTAAGCCCGTTCAGTGTATCCTGATAAGGCGGCTAAAGGCTCCTTTGGAACAACTCCCATGTCCATCATACGCGAATGGCCTTCCTAAAAACCTCTCTTGCGCAACCCTCTTAAGCCCTGCAAAGCCTTAAACGACCGATAACACCCACAAAAACTCTACACAACCTTATATATCCCTACAAACCCTTCCAAAGGTCTACAAAGCCTTGCAACACACTAGCAACCATACTATAAATTCCGAAAGAACCTCTTTGTTTAAAAACGTCCTGGGATGGCGGCGGAGGTGGCGGGCGACGATCCTCGCCACGGCGGTCACGGTCACCGCGCTCACCTCTGTGGCTTTGTTTGCACTCTGGTGAAAGGGGTTTAAGGTACTTAGAGGGCCAGAAGACTTAGTAAGTAGGTTATAAGTTAGTGTTATAAGTAGCCTAAATGGAGTTACCCTATTTCTAACCCCTGCTTATAGCCGACTTACTAAGTCCCCTGGGCCTCCAAGTAAGGTAAGGTTCCACTTATAAGGGCTCCATACGGTTGATGATATAAATCCTGCATTACCTTAAGGACCCTAAACTATGGGAATTATGGTATATTTCCTATTATGGGTAATGCAGGATTTATATCATCAACCGTACGAGGTGTTTTTCAGGGCTTTGCAGTTGATGGTCTCCGGCTTCAGGGCTTTGGCGGTTTCAGCGTTGCAGCTTGGAAAGGTAGGGTTTAGGGTTTAGGGTTTAGGGTTTAGGTCCGGGCCTCTCCGAAAAAACGGTCCTGTGATTTCGGAAAACGGGGTGTTCGGCTGGGGTTTTCAATCGGAGCTCTTGAAAGGAGATCCTGAAAAGGAGTCTACAAACCTGGGTAAGTTGTCAAGCGGACTAACTGAAAAATACCATAACAAGGTTGATACGGGAAGCATGCGCCATACGGCCCACACTAGTGTATGGGCAGCTACAGTGAAACTCTGAACAAGGGCCCCGACAGGCTGTGTGGTATAGCAATGTGGCTAGCTCACCTTCAACACCTCAAGCCACAAGCCAAAGCCAAAGCCCCAGAAATTAAATCCCAAGCCCTAATCCCCAAATCCTAAAATCCCAAGCCCTAATCCCCAATTAAATCCCAAGCCCTAATCCCCAAATCCTAAGCTTAAAATCAAAGAACAACCCCAGCCAACCTGACGGAACCTGACATGAACCCTGATGAACTTTTTTTCAAAGCCCTGGCTAAACCCTCAATCCCAATGCCCCAGTCATCGACTTCTCTCGATGCAAAAAGCTTTCCAGGTCAACAGGATATCTGTAGTTTAGTGTTTTATTTAAGGGTCAGCGGGTTATGCTGCTGTACTTATAAAGGCCTCGGTCGTCGCCGCCGCGGTCACGGCGATCCCGATCTCCGTCACCTTTGAGGGAATTGGAGCTTGTGGGTTTGGGGCTTAGGGCTTGGACGGTTTGGGGCTTACCTATAGTCTCCGTTGTAGTTCCGTTTTGGGGTTACCTTATAGGATCCTTAGTATATAATTGGTTCAACCAAAAAAAGGAACTACAATGGAGACTATAGGTAGGGTTTTTTTCCCTTTGGGGCTGTGCAGACTTCAGAGCTTTCGGGTTCAGGATGTTCGGCTTCGCGTCTCGGTCTTCAGTATGTCTAGGGCCGTCGGGCTAAGGATCTGGAACATGTGCTGGTGGTGCTGCAACGACTTGCCACTGCGTCTCACGATAGTCTATGCCTGGCCATCAACGACGCTTTCGCAAGTCACGCTCATGAGGTTGCACGTGGTCTGCAAGGCTTTGGGTTGCATGTTTAATCTGGGCGGGTGTGCCCATGGCGTGGTGCTTTTGGTCCGGGCTTCGGGTCGGGGCTAAGAGTCCGTGAAGGACTCTATAGATAGATAAACTGATTGATCGATTGATTGATCGACCGGCAAAGAGATATGTATACACATACTACCTACAGCATATATAATGCTTGACATTTAACATATAGTGCGACATGTGAACGTTATATATGTATATGTGTGCAATCGCATGTATGCATTGATAAAATAACAGAGAGTGAGTTGCTACCAGCCATTGCCGACGCATGCAGCCCGCTCAAGCCCTTCAGATTTGGGCCCTTTATTGGGACTGCAGTAACCCTATGCTGAGCTCCGTTTACTCGGTATGGGGTTTTCCGAAACCATGGCAAATCTAGCAAGGCCCGTCGAAGCCCCCAGATCCGTTGCAATCTGCGCCGCGGTCATCACGGCGGCCGCGTGATCGAGAGCGGCGGTCCCGGTCCCGACGGTCACGATCATCCCGGTCGCGATGGCGGCTGCGACTCCTTTGGGGTTTGGAGTAGTGTAGGACCTAGGATTCATGATTCAGGACATCTGGGTCTGGGTAGACTTTTATGCATCAGCGAAACTGCTGAAAAGCTAAAGAGTGAGACATGGGTGGGAAGCACTAGGTCACTAGGTATAAGCACAGGTACACGCCAGGATACAGTGGCATGCGGTATTTCAGATAGGCGGCCAAACTAATTGGTCATGACACCTAAGTGTGTTGAAAGGTGTAATGAAGCCCCTAGACTCAAAACCCTAGCCCCATTTCAGATAGGTGGCCAGACTGTGTTGAAAGGTGTGTTGATGTAAACCCAACTCAACTCTTGGGGTCCTGCCGCCGCCACCTCCACCATCACGGCGGTCCCCTCGATCGTCACGATCACGACGTCGGTCTCCTCCGCGGTCCTTCGCAAGTCAGCGTACGGCCGACGGCTTTTGACTTGACGCTTCGGGGCTTGGTCGAGACTAGCGTTTGGGCTTTACCGACTTCATAGTCGCAACTTCTACCGTCTATGTAAAACTCCAGGAGGCATCTCAAACCCTGGGACGGTCATAGCGGTCACCGCCACGATCACCGCCGCGGTCGCCACCACGGTCGCCACCACGGTCGCCTCCTCCGCCTCCTCCGCCGCCGCCACCTCCGCGCTCGCCTGGCTCATAGGATTTAGGCCTGAGGGCTTGGGCTTCGAGGTTGAGGGTTTAGGGGTTTTGGCGTAGCTTGTTGCTCCGATGGGCTAGGTTTTGGGGTTAATGTTGGGGCTAAGGTCTCAGGATTTGAACTTGAGGGTTCAGGGATGAGGGTTTAGTAACGCAAATCAAGTCTTGGGCTTTCGGGTACCGCAAAAGGGTTTTATAAGAGAGGGGGATTCCCTTTAAGGGCTCCGTTAAAGGTTTCTGTCAGGGTACCATACAGGTTGTATACGGGTCAGTCAAAGGGCGTTGGGTTAAGGCTTCGTTCGGGCTGGAGGGTGTGCAGGGGCTTGTGGGGCAATTCTGCCCACGTCTATCACATCATGTTCGATCAGCAAGTTCCACATTGAGGGTTTAGGGTTTAGATATGCCTACCATGGCATTTCTGACAAGCCATTGCTGTAAAATGTGCTCTCATCCTAAAGTGAAATTGCACAGCCGAGCCAAAGCCATACAGCTCAAATCTCGATCCTCCAAAGAATCTTGACCCACACCATGAAGACCAGACTCTACAAAACAACAGAACAAAAATCCGTGGTTGCATCATGCTGTCGCGCCTACAAGTCTGAGAAGTTCATGCCCACCACAGAGCCTAAGCCCTAAAGTCTAAACCCTAAACCCTCAAACCTAAGGACCCTGGGCTCAAGTCTCACCGAAGTACCCTCCGAATGCAGGAACGTGAGTGTTCTAACCAGCAAAACTCCCAAGGCAAATATTCCTAGGCCCGATTCGGGAACGAGGGCTTCTCAAGTTGGGACATTTAAACGTAGGATGCCTCCGCCGCGATCATTGCGGTCACCATTCCTCAGGTTGCGAGGGGTTTCGGCGCACACACTGGATCCAGGGTTTTGGCTTCGGGATCTAGGCTTCAATATTCTTTTCCGCGTTCTAGGGTTCTTGTACGGCTACCTTGAAGGATTCCTTCAAGGGCTCAAGGGTACCACAATGGTCGCTTGGAGGAGACGGGGGTCTGGGGCAAGTTACAGCGCCTGGCTTGCGTTGTGGGGCTTACAGTCTCACACTTTAGGGATTAGGGCAAGACCCAAATTGCAACGCCATCAACCTTAAGGCACGCGGAGTCCTTTTCGGGCCCTCAACCCTCAACACCCCGTAGGCCTAACAATCACAAAGCCTTCATTGAGACTCCTGCAACCTGCAAAACCCCTAAACCCACTTTAAAGAGGGACTAACTCAAAACCCTTTAAAACCCTTAAAGAACCCTTGAACGCCCCCAACGTTTGAAGCTCTAAGCCCAGGGCCGGGTTAACCCTCAGATCCTTCACAGTCCCACCGAAAGCTTTTACAAACTTCCTAGGCTCTAAATCCTTATGGTAACCCTAAACCCCATGCAAACCCTAAAACCCTAGAGCCTTTCAACCCAAAGACCCGACCCGGACCCCCAAAAAGGGCCCTTTAATAGAGTCCTTATGGTCCTTAACAGTGGGCTTTTTTGGTGTATGTTAGAGGGTAGTTGGGGGGTCTGCAACCCTAAACCCTAAACCCCATGCAAACCCTAAACCCTTAAACCCCAAACAAGAAAAGCCTAAAACCCTAAAGCCTTTCAACCCAAAGCACCAAAGCCGGATCTCTTTTCGCGATCCAGCCTTTAGTATAGTGGGTATTTATGATCTATTTGGGGGGTACTTGGAGGGTCTGGGGAAGCTGGGTCTCTTTTGGCGATCCGGCCTTTAGGAGAGTCCTTATGGCCCTTAACAGTGGGTATTTGGGGTATATTAGAGGGTAGTTGGGGGGTCTGTAACCCTAAACCCTAAACCCCTAAACCCCTTAAAGCCCTAAGCCCTAAAACCCTAAGGACAAAAAGCCCTAAGCCCTAAAACCCTAAGGACAAAAAACCCTAAGCCCTAAAACCCTAAGGAAGCCGAAGCCGGGTCTCTTTTGGCGATCCAGCCTTTAGTAGAGTCCTTATGGCCCCTAATAGTACTTGGGGGTCCAAAACCGTATAAAACCCTTATTATAGAACCCCTTTAAGGAACCCTTAAAGGAACCCTATACGGGTACCCTTAAAGGAACCCTATACGGGTACCCAGGTCTGGGGAAGCCGGGTCTCTTTTGGCGATCCAGCCAGCTTCCTGGGCCTGGACGTCCTGGCGGGCCTGGACCGGAGCTCGGAGCATCAGACACTGGTTGAGGGTTTAGGGTTTAGGGTTTAGGGTTTAGGGTTCAGGGTTCAGGGTTTAGGATTTAGGGTTTAGGATTTATAGTTTAGGGTTTAGGGAGGGAAGTAGGCTTGGGTTTTCGACGCTCACACTCGCACAAGGCAGGCAAGGCTTCACAGTGTTTAAGGAGTCCTTGCTGGGGAGTTTCGGTTGCAGCGATATCAGGACTGTAAGAGGATCCCGTTCATTACTTCTTCGGCCCACTAGATTGAGGCTTCGGGTTCGGGGTTTAGGTGTTCGTAGGTTTCACACTCAGGATTTTAGGCTGTGGTTGAAGTCTTGTGAGCAACCATTCTCCCACTTTTTGGTGCCCAAGTGCAAGAATAAGAATCAGGAGCTGGCAAATGTGTGACAGCAGTCTGTTGAGGACTTGTGTGAGGCTCTTCGGAAAGAGTTTTGTGGTGTTTGCACGCAGGCTCAGGGGCGAACGCACAGGCTCTGTACTGGGCTTTGTAGTAAACCGGGAGATAAGAACCATATAAGCTTCACTTCATAACGGCTCCTTGAAGGAACAGCTCCAAACAAAGTCAAAGCATGGGCACTCCAGAACCCAAGTAACCCAAGCCCGATGCCAAAGCCGTTGCCTCAACGCCAAAGTCCTTACAACGACTCAAAAAACACCATGACGCTCATGAACGCTCCTGCGGAGCCCCTGTTATACCCTTAACCTCTAGACTCTAAACCCTAAACTCTTTTTTTGGGACGTCTGCCGGGAAAGTCAGATTTCTCCGAACCCTAAACCCCAAAACCGACACCCCACACTCTAAACCTTAAACCTTAATCCCAAACCCCCAACCCTAAACCCTACACCCTCAAACAAAAAGCCCACGCCAGGGCACCCAGAGGCTCTCCGTTTGCTAACTTCTTCATGAGGAGCATCGCCGTGGCGGATGGCTTGCCGGAGCACTCAAAATGCCTGCCCAACGGGTCCTACATACCTTTAAGGAGCCCCGAAACGAACCCCGAAAAGGAATCCCTTAAAGGAATGCTTAAAGGAAACCTTACGGGGGATACTTTCCCAAACCATACAATAACAATTCCTACTATAGAACCCCTGCTTCTTTAGACCCTACTTCTACTTCACAGGTACTGTGGGCCCTTTGGGGCGGCTACGCTTTCTTGTCGGGCGTTCTTAGGAGTTGAGGGCTTGTCTTGAGGCTTGGCAAAGAAGTTTCAGAGTCTGGGGCTTCGGGCCCAAGGGTCAGGGACGAAGCATGTGCCGGACTTTCAAATCGCCCCCAGTCGGAAATCCGAGTAGGTCCGCCTCTCCAGGTCGTGGTAGTATTCGTCTTTCTTCTCGTCGGAGCACCGTGCCAGAATATCTGACAAGCCTGACTGGTGTTCTTGGTTTGGATCTGTTTAGGGGTGCGATAGCAGGCGATGGGTTTCAGAACTCACAACTGGGACAAGCCTGAGGGTTCAGGGTGTTGGAGTACCTTCTTCCACCACAAAGGCCGAACGCCGTGAAGCACCCCCGAAAGTCAAAGGAATGGAGTATCCGAAAAAAAGAGTGGCCATACGTTTTGAGTCGTACATCCTGACTCCCGAACCCAAGGAAGTCGTTCCTGAACCCAACTCCCGGGGACGTCTACCCCCAAATGTGCCAAGCTGCGCGTCTCCGCGATGCGGTCGAGCTTGAACTTCTCCTTGAGGTGCTGCATCCTGACAGGGCTACGGTTTAGGGTTTAGGGTTTAGGGGCTGTTTACCAACATTTACAAACATATTCGTACTGTAGCTAATTTTGTCACCCACCTGGCCCGCGTAAATAGCAATAACAACTACATACTGTTCTGGAATTATTGCCGGGACTCGATTACGACAGGGTTCGCGAAAGAGTTATATTCGGGCGTCTACGGGGCTTTGTAACCCTACACCAAACCCTTGTATAACCCCCACGAAACCCTGATATGCCCTGCAAAGCCCTTGCAAAACTCTTATAAGCGCCTTTACAGAACTCCTAGACTTTTTTTGGTGTTGACGGACGGAAGTCTTCAGCATTCGGGAAGGCGAGGGCGCCTTCACTCAAACTTGCAGCCTTTCTGAATACCCAGCGAGTCACTAGGTAGGGCTGAGGGTCTAGATGGGTTTAGGGTTTAGGGTACAGACAGTAACTCCTTTAGGATTTAAGGCCTGGGCTTCAGGGCTTAGGATTCCGGGCTCAGGGCTCGGGGTTTAGGTCTTTGGGCACAAGCGTCTAATGTTGAGCGCTTCAGGCTCAGGGCTTTGCGTCCCGGACGAATGCCCCGAAGCTGACTCGGCTCTCAAGAAACGGGGGCCTCTTGTCGCGGTTGATCGCCACAAAAGTACCATCTTCCATCTCTTTCCTCAGAAAGTCCAGGGTGGGCTCTCAGGCTCGGTTCGCATCGGCTCTGTAAGCCCTGCCCAGAGAGCCCAATACCCCTTAATTAAGGAATATGGCTTAAATTATATGGGGCCTCATATTATGATTTAAGCTATATTCCTTATTTAGGGGGTATTGGGCTCTCGTGAAACCTTACACCGGAAGATCTGAAGCCTGCAAACTTGTCCCTGTTAAGTATAAACTGCTCCAAGCCACATCTTGACGACGAGCATACCGCAGGGAGATCGGGCCTCTTCCATGATCTCTTTCAGCTTCTTCCTTGGGAGTTCCATAGAACTTAGGGTTTAGTAGGGTGTGGTGAGGCATCGATAGTTGCAAAGCAGGTGGACTGAATCTTCCTGCACTTGACAAGCTTGGGTGGAGGTGTACTTCGAAGCTGTCGAACAGCTTCAAGCTCCAGAGCTCAAACACCAAGCCATCTAAACAAAAAGAGAAGCCCCAAGCCATACCACGCACGTGACGATGAAAAGCTCAGCAGAAACTTGGGCCCTCAATTCAGGGACGGGCACGGTGTAGCGTGAGGGAATCATGTCAGCACAAGAGACGATAACGTGAAACCCTCATCGAGCCCTAAGCTCTCGCACTTTAGCCCAGACCACTCACAAGAAGCATCTTGCCTTGCGAAGCAAGGCATGGGAAGCATCCATAAACCAAAATCCCGTGCAAGCCGAGCAGCTTAGCTCAACATGTTCATGCACCACGAACAAAAGGGGACAGGAATGAAACTAGCCGGTTACGGGATGAGGCTCTAAAGTGCTTGGGGATTTCTGTGTTTGCTCCAAGTTTCCTTCAATCTGAGGGGTTCCAAGCTGCGACAATTTTTTTTCAAACCTTCGTGCCCACAGCGCACCCGTACCATAGTTCTGCCCTGCTCCCACATGCCAGGGCTAGTGCGAAGGTCTGCATAGCAAGTAAGAACACCCCCTTATCATCCGTATACATGAGTATGTAAGCATATGAATCATTCGCACTATCCGGTCATGGTGTCTATGATCTTAGGTATGGCTATCTTCCACCAGACCCTCATGTCAGTTGCCAAGGCAGTGTGCCAAGCAGTGCAGCCAGCTTGCAACCGATTTTTGATGAACAAAAGCTGCCTTGATATTTAGATTCTGGGATTCCGGTCGGGCTACAAACTATAAGTGCGTTGGGGACCAAGGGTGTTTGTCGCATCTTCTCGGAAAATTATATACCTGAGCAATGATATTGATTTTTTAACAGGGATATTGATTTTTTTCGCATTGAAACGACGAGCGCTCCGGCCTCCTCAAATCAATTTATGTACAGACATGTTGAAGAACAAATAATAACCGGATCCATCTTCCGAGCTCACAGAATTCAAGCCGCTTTTTTAAGGCTTTGCCGAGGCACAAGTCCTCAACCCAGGTGTCATGTCTGCAGGGAGAGGCCGTGGCAGACTGTTTTCGGAAAGGTCTCGGGTTTAGGGTGTATGGCGTAGGGCTTTGGGTTGAGGGCGCAGCGGTGTGGGAACAGCCAGTCCTAGACGCGCGAGACTCGAAACCTCACTTTATGCAACCCTGTCGTCGTTTTGAATGAGGTTGGGTCAGGAATCCTGGCAATATAGCACGACTGCCCACATTTGTGATGGCGGCGGCTTGCAGGATCTTCGTCATTCCTTTGAATCGTTGCTTCCTCCTCGTATTTTGACGCGACGATTATCAGCTTATCAGCAACAAATGGTATCATTCTCCTTCCCTGAACCCCCAGAACATGCACCACGTACGAGCCTACACCCCATTGAAGCCCGAAGTTTGACGGTGTCTGTGCTGCCGGAACTGAAAGTGCACGTGCCTGTCTTTCATGAGCTCGTTCAACTTTTCGATGTGGCGGGTCTCGATGTAAAACTCGTCACAGAGCTCCTGGATGTCCTGGGCTCAGTGGGCATCCTTCAGAAACTCCAAGGACTCGCAGTGCCATGTCTTTTCCGATGACCCCCCGGATTTAGAGAAAAATGGGACAGCAGAGAACAAGGCGAGACGAATCGTAAGACGAGTACACAACCCCGAACACCTAAACCCCTAAACTCCTATAGTACACTTATAGATCCCTTTAAAGGAACCCTTATGTATAGATCCCTTCAAAGCAGCGTCCAATCGCCTGCAGCCTTGAAGTCCTTGGAGCCCTGGAAGGCAGATTCCCTACACCCTACTTGGAGGCCCAGGGGACTTAGTAAGTAGGTTATAAGTAGGGTTATCAGTACACTAAGTGGAGTTACCCCAAATAAAACCCTAGTTATAACCGCCTTGCTAAATCCCCTGGGCCTCTGAGCCCACTTGCTGAGCTCTTGTTACAGAATTACATGTCATTTAAGTTGCCACAACACGGAAACGACATTATGTGCCATAGAAGTGCAACTAAACTTAAAATCATCCTTGATCCTTTGATTAACTTGAAATTAGAAACATTCTTCATTAACAAGAACCCAACAAGCCTACTTGCCGGGCGAAGGGCGGGATGGATCCGGCCGTGCTCCGAGACGTAGACATCGGTCTCTTCGCCCCTCTTTGGCCTGGCTCCAAGTCTCGGAGACCGTAAAGGAACCAGTAAAGGAACGCTTGAAGGACTCTTTTCTACGGATGGATGCTTTTGGCAGAGGTCTCAAGATTTTGCCTTGAAGTTCATAATTGCATTGTTGAAGAGCTTCTGCTTTCGAACTCAGGTCACGGTCCACAGAGAGCCCGCTGCAAAGCGAAGACGTCATCCGCAACTTAGACCCCCATGGCAAAGCCTGAAGACCCCTGCGGCCTCCAAAAGACCATGACTGCATATAAACTCACCCCAGTATAGACCCTGAACAGCCACCCCAACATATATAGACACCGCGTGGTCACCTTTTACATCTTCACTTACAAGCCCGTATTTTAAAGGAGTCACACCAAAACTCGAAATCGTCCCTCAGCCGCCTGCCACACTTCGGGCAAGTGAACTTCGAGGCGAAGCAGTTCTGACCTTTGCACGGTTTAGGGCTTAGGGTTTGGAGTTTTAGGGTTTGGGGTTTTAGGGTTGGGTTTAGGGCTTAGGGTTCGGGGTTTTAGGGTTTAGGGTTTTAGGGTTAAGGGATTTTTGTGGTTTAGAGCTTAGGGTTTGGGGTTTTAGGGTTTAGGGTTTTAGGGTTGGGGGATTTTTGTGGTTTAGAGTTTGGGGTTTTAGGGTTTAAAGTTTCGGCGCTCGCACTCGGACAATCCCGACAAGGCATTAAGGTTTAGGGTTTTAGAGTTTAGGGTCTAGGGTTTGGGGTTTTAGGCTTTAGGGTTCTGGGTTTTAGGGTTTAGGGTTTAGGGTTTGGGGTTTTCGGCTTTACGCTCTCACAACTCGGACAAGCCAGACGAGGTCTCGGGTTCGAAGTGCTTTGATTGGTCGGGACTAGCAACTGATAGTCGGTTTAGGGTTTACGGATTCTGGCTTTTGCGGCTTTGGGGTGAGGGCCATAAATCTCAGAACGCGCTGAGAGATATGTTTGATGGTTTTGGGCTCAGAGTTTAGCGTTTGGTGTTGAAGGGTTATAGAACTTCACGGTTTAGGCTGCAGGTTCTCTTATCAGTTGAGCGCGTAGTAACAGAAGAGATCCGGCCTTTATTCGAGAATCAGGCGCAGAAAGATTCTTGTTCGTGTTACATAGACTTTCGGAAGATAGGAGACCCCCTACCAATCCAAACGACAGAATCCACACTGTAAGGACCCCAATCTCGATTGAAAACCCTATGCACCTTACACCCTAAACCTCAAAGCCCTAAATCAATCCTAACCCCGAAAACCCTTTTTGCAGCTGGGCCCCGAAACCCCTGAAACCTAACCCCTTAACCCCTTTACAGCATAGTACCCTGAAAGGAACCCCAAAAGGGCCCCTTAAAGGCAATCCTAAACCCTAAACCCCCCAAAACCCTATGAGCCGCCGGCCACAGGCTGGGCAAATCCAATCCCCGGGCTTCAGCCCGGGTAGGGGCTTCGCATCCGGAGGGCATGCCGCACCGGGCCACTGATAAGTCTGCCCTTTGCCGCCTTCGGGGAATGTAGTTGGATGTGAGCAGGATTCACAATACTACACCAAAGAGTATAGTAAAAGAAAGGCCTGCATGCAGCTTTCGCTGTGAGCTTTAAAATTGATGCGGTTCGGCGTGCTTTGCATAAGGAGCCTAGCAACTTTAAAGATGTTAAACAGGGTTTGTATGGGTTCCTGTTCGGAAACTTGACTTCCAAAGGTTTATCAAGGGGGAAAAGGAGGGACCCTTAATGGGGACCCCTAGCCTATAATGGGCTATATAATGGGTAGATAATAGCTATTATATTAAGGGTATATACCCAGGGTCCTTATTAAGGGTCCCTCCTCCTACCCTTGGAGTTTAGCATTCCACAAGTCTTCGTCTCATGAGCTCCTGCTTCGGAACCTAGGAACCAGCTCAAATAGATGTAGGTAGTATTATTAGGGAAACCCGTTAAAGGGTACCCCTTCTGAACCCTATTTCTGGCTCTCTTAAAAGGGGCCGTATTGAGAGGGTCTATATCCCCAAGGGTCCCCCCAAACCTAACTCCCAACATAAAGCCGAGGAAGGCAAAGTGAATACTACTTAGAGGCCCAGGAGACTTGGTAAGTCGGTTGTAAGAATGACTGGGGTAACTCCATTTAGGGTACTTATAACCCTACTTATAACCTACTTACTAAGTCCCCTGGGCCTCTGAGCATGCTCTCCCCTTCATAGCAGCAAACCAAACGCTGCACCGTGAAGAGCTGCTCACCGCCCCCATCTTCGCATGACAGCTCGTATTCGCACACAGACGTTCATAAGCTCACTGGAAGCATGCGACGATATAAAGTTTAGAAAACAATATGTATATATATATATGTGTGTGTGTGTGGGCATGTGTATGTGGCTGTATGTATGTACATAGAGAGAGAGAGATAGAGAGAGAGAGGGGACTATCATACACATACACCATTAGTGATCTCTGTAGAACGGTCCGTGGTGTTGCTCATCACAGCATGACAGCACGAGGCTCCTAGACGACAAGACAAGGTTCACCCGGTGAAGTTCACCCTAAAGCCTATAAATGCGTTTAGGGCCCCTGACGCAAAAGCTCAGAAGCCTCAACCCAGAGCCTCAAAACGCCCACTATACTGTTTACAGTAGGAACCCGTTTGGACAAATTTCAACTTCTGAAAACTGTCGAGCGTTCTATAATCCCGAAAAGCTGTAAAGAAACACTTAGAACACACTCCAAACCCAAAACCCTTAACCCTTTAACAATACGCCCTCAACCTTAACCTCAATTCCAAAACCCACAACCCTAACTCCAAAAGCCTAAGCCCTTAACCCTAAACCCTTTATCGCGAACCCTTCTTTGCTCCATGTTTTAAACCCTGAACCCTAATCCCGAAAACACTCCCAAAGTGCCGCTCCCGGCCTTTTCCATCTGCCTTGCCACCGGCTTTTGGTGGAACAACATTGCCGCCGCCTCGTGTGGGATTTTAGGGCTTAGGATTTAGGACTTGAACTTTTGAGATTTAATTAGGGTTTAGGGAGCTTCAAAACCTAGGACTCTACAAAATCTTCGGGTGTGAGGTGCTTTAGGATCTTGTGCTGCAGATTTCGGATGTACGGCTAGGGCGGCTAGGGGTGAGGACCCATGGCTGCATGATTCTACCGTAACTACGGCTTCAGGAGTTCGAAAACCGTGCATTACTTACAAGGCAATGCGGGGCTGATCATCACGCTACCATCATATCGCTATCATCCACCATTCGTTTCAAAAGTATGCTTGCACTGCCGCTGCCATGGTGGCCGCCGCTGCTGCTGCTACTACTGCTGCTGCTGCCCCTACCATACCGAACCTGTGTCCTACAACCACCACCACCACCACCACCACCTCCAACACCACCACCCCCAAATACCGCCACTACCGCTGCCACTACCCGCTGCCACACCCACTACCACTACACAATCAGTCTTACAACGACGACCGAACCTTATGGACGCCAGTGTGTGAAAACTTCTCCGGACACCTTCGGCCCCTTGTGGCCTTGGCCCCGCAATCTGAAGCCAACATCCGACAATCTATGCGGGGATTCTTGCAAGGAGCCCAGAAGGTGGACTGTCGACGAGCCTAAACTCAAAGAACGAGCATGACTTGAGTTTAAGAGTTTGTGGAAAATCCTCTCAAGAGAAGCCCAGAAAACTTCCCTGAAAGGTTTGGGGTTGTACCTCAAGTCTTTGGGCCGTCGGGAATTGAAGCACTATGCCTTTACCACGACGAGTCCGGGGGCCTGTAAAGGATGTAGGCTGACGGTAGGGTACCGTAGTTCAAGGTTCACTTGCGGACTCAGGGCACGTAGCAAGCACATTCTGGATTAGGATACTTATAACCTGTAATCATCCTAATCCGCAAACCGATAGCCCCAATGATCGCGTACTTACTCAGACCCTCGATCACTGAAGTTTGGCATGGCCTTGAGGCATCATGCCGTTCATCATCATCGGATTCCTGGGTGCAAAGGATTCCCTTTAATTGTTGCTGCAAGGTTTGAAGGGCCCTTCGTGGAAAGCTTCCGCTCCCAATAAGAAACCCTCATTGGAGTCTGCAACTAAGGGCTGTATGAGAACCGGTGAGGACATGATGTCGGGTTCTCGCCATGTTCACTTGGTCTTCACAACTAACCTGAGGAAGCCTTTGTGCAGTGCATGAGGCTCCAAGTTCCGAAGTATTTGTGGCTGGGGTGGATTCTTATGGATTCTTGGATGCGACAGAGGAGGGAGAGTTTAGGGTCTAGCCTTTAGGGCTGTAAGTTCTTCTGATCCATTTGTTGGTCTGCGTGCTCATACCGCGGCTCTTGCTACCATCACAGCATACAAGACCGCAAAAAGCCCCAACCCCAGATCCGCAGTGGCCATTGACGGCTTCGGGCTTGTCGGGTTTAGGGTAAGTTGCATAAAACAAGTTTGGAGGATGGTGAGGCAGCGGTAAAAGCCTGAAACTTAGGCGGCAAGCTCAAAGCCCTCTTCTGGTCGAGATGCGGCGGCATTCCCGGCATACCAGGCATACCCGGCATTGCTGGCATTCCCGGCATTCCCGGCATGCCCGGCATTCCCGGCATGCCCGGCATTCCCGGCATGCCCGGCATGCCCTGATTCTGGCCGCCCGGCTGGCCGAAAAGGTCCGGATTTGTCATGGCCTCAGTTGTGCAAAGATGTTCCTGGATCGGGGTTGCAGTTGCGCCAAACTTTCGTTAAACGAATTCAACAGCCCGACCTGAAAGCCTAGCCAAACTAATCCTAAAATCTCATGCCTAATCCTAACCCGCCTGAACCCTAATCCCAAATCAAAAAATTCGCAACCCCGAAACCAAAACCCTGGCCCTAACCCCCTAGAGTACCCTACGCTCCACATCCACAAATCCTAAACTCTAAACCCCTAAACCCTAAGCCTGAACCCCTAAACCCTAAATACCCCCAACACCCTAAACCCCTAAACCCGAAATCCTAAACCCCAAATCCTAAAATACCCCCTAAACCCTAAACCCCAAAAACCCTAAACCCTAAACCTTTATCCCTAAACCCTCTAAACCCCTAAACCTGAAGCCCGAAACCCTGAACCCAAAAAAAACTGCCGCGGCTGAGCCGCCATCATCTTCTGCAAGTTCGCGAAAGCGCTATGCATCTGCCTCATGTTGCCTTCACCTCCTCGAGCTCTATTGGGGCACTTTTTTTTATTATTCTTATTCTTATTGGTATTATTATTATTGTTCTTATTGGTAATATTATTGTATCTTTATTTTTAAGTGTGTTGGGGCCCTTTTCCAGCAGAAGTCCCACCCAGTGTTTGGGTTCACCCTACACGAAATAACCCAGCAGTGAGCTTTGACCACATCCGAATTGGGGTGCTTTGCGGTTTAAGGTTTAGGGGTTTATAGGGTTTTGGGGTTTTGGGTTTTTGGGGCTTTAGGCATAGAAGGGGTTTAGGGTTCAGAGGGTTTAGGGTTTTAGGGTTTAGGGTTTGGGGGGTGGGGTTTAGGGTTTAGGGTTTCTGGGGGAGGCTTGAGTTTGGGGGTTAAAGGTCTTAGGGTTTAGACCATACAACCAAGACCAAAACCCGGGGCTTAGGGTTCAGAGTTGACTTGGGGCCTTCAAGGCTTTAGAAGCAAGGTCTGGGATTTCCAGCCCATCACCCCCCAAGCCCAAGACGTTGAACCCCGTCGCCAGATCCTCCCGCCCCTTGCGGCTTCGGGTTTAGGGTTTACCAACCCCATCGCAAGATCGTGCGCCCTTTGCGGCGTAGGGCCTCAACCTCTTAACTGTCTACCATCATTAACGGCATCAGCCTCGATACCCTTTGGCCTCCAGCACTTCTATGTAGAGCCTTGACCCGCATGGCGGTGTTTGATGTCGGCACAGGAACATTGGTAAGGAGCCACACACCGAAGAAATACGTGCTGCCAGTGTGTAATATGCTGAGCTGATTTTGCATACTCCGTCATTCTCACTGTTAGACGGCTTGTACTCCGTACTATCAGAATTGATGCTATTACTGCTAGTGGCTTTCCCACCCTTCAGGCTTTTTATTTCGGATCGGGCTTGGCCTGAACCCTTACAACAAACCTTGCTGCAAACTGGCGCTCCTTCGCCATCGCCTTCCGCATTACCTCGGAAGCGGGTTTTCGGTCGACGCGCGCATGGGGCGCGTTTTTCCCCACAGTCCAGCTCACCGAGTCGCACCGTATGGGGTTTAGGGCTTATGGTTTAGGGTTTAGGGTTTAGGAGCATCAGTCTTGGGATGCAAGGTTTAGGGTCGACGATTGGTGGCGGCGTTGGAGCTGTTTACAGGTTGGTGAGGTGTCTAGGAAATAGTAAGCGTACCCAACAGTACTAGTTATGTTCATAGTCATTGTAAAAATATGCCCAAGGAATAGAAACGGGAATTGACGGCCTTTCAGTTCATGTGGATTCGTAGTGTCCCCGAATCCCGCAACCCTCAAGCTCTGAATCATCCTAAACTCCCGACTCTAGTTAAACCGCTACACCAGTTGATCTTGGATAAGTACCTACAATCTCCAAACCCCTAAACCCCTCAAACACAGGCCCTTACCGCCCCTTGACAGATGAGCTGCCGGTCTTCTGCTTGCGTCCCATGGTCGCTGCTTCTCTCTGCCACACCACTTGAGGGTCGGCTACCTTGTGTCACCCGGGTGACTCTGTGAGCCAGAAACCATGTCGATGCAGGCCAAAACTGGCGGTCTCTGGGGCTTCAGACATTAAGAGTTATCTTTTTGGGCCTGCCGGCCCCTTAAAAATTAGAATAGTCATTTGGTGGTATGTTGTACTACACCTATATTACCCTCAAGCCTTCAAAACCGGCAACGCCCCTGTGTACTCGTCACAGACTGCTAAAGCTTTACACAGGTACAGCACATGGAAATCCTCGACACACACTGTCCACTGTCGACCCCTCACTTGCCGACGGCTATTTAGATCAAGGTTTCAGTATTTAAGGACTTCATGCCAGGGTCTTGGGTTCTCGGGCCTAGAATGGGGGAGGAAGGATTCGCTGTTGGGCGAATCTAGGAGCCTGATTAAGAACTTTGGGTTCGTATTGGGCCCTTTCTGTGGATCCTAATGTTGCGAATTTGTACGACCAGGGTTTGCTAATCAGATTCCTACACTGGCCCTCAAACCCACAGCCAAAGCCCTTTGCAGGCAGATGGTGGCAAGTGCCGAGCAGGGTCAATGCGTACGTTTGCTGCCAGCGCTTTTCACTGGCTGTCGCCATCAACCCCCAGCAATTGGGTGGGTCTCAAGTGAGACAAGGACAATGAGATCGTCCGGTCTTGCTGCCCCATGGCACGATCACTGCTTTGCAGTTGGCAAATTCAAACTTCCTATCGCTCAAAAGAAGTAGATTAGGGAGTTTCCGAAAATACGCGACCCTAATATAGTACCCTAAATAGTAGGATCCTTATTATAAGGACCCCGAAATAAGGTACCCCTAATTTTCGGAAACTCCCATATTACATATACTCACGAAATCTCCCAGCTAAGCCCTCCTTCATGCAAGACTTGGGCCTTTTTGCATCTCGATGGCCTCGAGAACTTCTCACTGCACCTCCCCATAAATATCAGGCAGCAAAGGTGGCCCACAATTGGGATTAGGGGCCTTGGAATTTGATGTAGGGGCCAGGGTTTGAGGATATTGCATACTATGCTTGAAACCAGGAACCCGAGGAATGCAATTGGAAATTATTCCTTCCCCTCTATGGGTAGTTCTCTGAATTAGGATCCCAAGTAAGTCCCAAAAATAGTACGGCACCCTTATAAAAAGGATCCTAACAGGTACCCGTATTTTTTGAAAACTACCCAAACCTCCTGGTCTAGGATTTGGGATTTACGGCATCAGGTTCCAAAGGTGGCCAGCATTGGGATCCTCAGTTGCATAGCTCGTAGCGCAAAGCCAGATTAAACTTTCTCAGCCCGAGTGTATGGCTTGCGGCTTGCGGGAATTCAGGGGGTGGATACCCTGACCTTTTTGTTGCCACTGGACTCAAGTCTAGGATACCCTGACCCTGAACCCGGAACCATTAGCCTCTTTTGAAGCCGGGCCCTTAGTGTCAGCCAACCATACGCCTAAACGCGATCGTGTTCCAAAGACGCTGAACGGATCGTGTTCCAAAGACGCTGAACGGTTGTAAACTCCTCGGGTGACTGGTAGTTTATCAGATTCAAACCGCGTGCTGATTCCGATGACCCCATCTGGATACATCATCTTGAACAGGCGACCTATTTTACCACCTTCAGATGAACCCCAAACCTTTAAAACCCCAACCGCAGAGTCCAAACAACTACAACCACCCCTGCAGACCTTCAGAACCCTGCAAAAGCAAAACTGGAATAATCAAGACTTTGGTGCATATTATCCTGCAAGTAGTATAAGGAACACGAAAATAGAATTAGGCCCCTGTAGTGCCAAGGCTCAGGTGGTGGTGATGGTTCCTGCGTGCCAAATCTTCCGGCGTGTCCCCGCGCTCGTTCGGAGTAGCATCGGCCCCGTAATCCAGATAGAGCCTTTACGGCTTTTTGGGGGGCCTCTCTGAGGGGTGTAGGGCTCCTGTAAGGGTTTCTTTGAAGGATATAGAGGCCTGGAGGGACCCTTCTGGGGGACACAGTTTGGAATCTACAGCGCTTGGCAATCCAGAACACTAAGCCCTTTTTCCATCAGGACCTGAAGCCCTAAGCCCTAAAACCCATAAACCTTGCAAACTAAACTCCTACACCCCAACACCGCAAACCTTCAACAACCTAAACGCAGCTATTCTGAAAACCTCGACCCCGTTCGGTTTCAAGGCCTTAGCGGCTCTTTGGGTCCGCCATCCTTCGGGCTGGAAGCCCGCGGCTTCGGCCGTATTATATGACCATCATTTCCCAGACCCCAGGGAGGATCCAAAAAGTAGATCCCTTAATGGAGGTTCCTATAAAGTAGTAGTAGAGAGCCGATCTACTTTCTAGATCCTTTCGGGGGTCTGGGTTAGGGATTACAAAATGGATAGGATTACCAATTAAGCACTAGGCTTTGGGAAGCACGACGGAGATATCATTACCAATTATTCGGACCTCTACTATAGTGCAGGATCCGGCTCTGGCGTTCGCAACAGCATACATTCGAGACTTTCTCTCTGATTCTTGCCCCTCTGCTGGACCGACGATACACGAGTCGAAGCGGTCCGTCAAAATGCCAGCTTCCCTGGAAAGAATCCCTTACGACTGACTCTACTTGGAGGATCATGGGACTTAGTAAGTAAGGTTATAAGTACCCTAACTGGGGTTATAAGTATAGTTACCCTAATTATAACCCTAGTTACTAAGTCCCATGATCCTTTAAGTATTCAACCCTCAGAACCCCGACCCCCAAGCATCCCCTTAACCCTCTGCCCCCTGCAACAAATCCAAGCAGCTGCGTCAGCTGCCCATGGCCCACCAAAGCTGCGTAGCCCAGAGGGGTAATCCCAGGCCTCGTCTTGGCCAACCCTAAAGACTGCCTTGAGCCCTAAGCCCTCAAGACGATAGGACGAGTAGTTACAATAACACGAGATTTGAGTTCTGGGGTTAGGGTGCCACCCACATGCCATGCTCTACTGTTTTGGATTTGGGGTTTGGGCACTGATTCATTTAGGATGCTTTGCGGCGGACCTGGACCGAAGATTCTGTCGGCCCCCTTTCATGAGGCAGCTATGTCTTTTGCAGACTCACACTGCTGCAGGCTTAGAAAAGCGCAGTCGATAAAGCAAAGTCAAGCGGCATGGAGGCACGCAGGCGAGTCATCATGTTGCAGTTGGCAAACCCAAGAACCGCCACCTTCAGCCGGGCACGCCTGCACTCCCACAAGAACTCGCCACGTGGAGTGGAGCGCGCGTTGACGTCTGCATGATTCTCCAGAAGAAGTCTGGCAGTCTCCACGGCATGCCGATTGCTGCGTGAAAACAGCGCTACTGCATGCAATGGTCCATATCGCCCAGTTCCGATATCGCTCGGATCGCAGCGGTGCTTCAGAAGTTCTTGAATCGTGTCTGGACCAGCAAAGGAGGCCGCACCGTTTAATGCCGAGTTTGCGACTTCTGCTCTCTGTTCCAACAAGGCCCTCACGTGTCCAGGTGTTCGGCACATGTACAAGGACGACAGCAAGGTCCTAGCCCGACCATTGGGGTCTGCGCGGAGCTCAACAAGCTTGGTTAGAACAGCCGGCTCTTGACGTGATTTCGTCGCCGCCATGAGAAGTGTCTGTGTGTCGTAGAATCCCAAGTCGCTGAGACCATGCATCGGACGGTTCATATCCGCCCTGCTTTCTGCCAATAAGGTTAACATGCCAGTGTCACCAGACAGTATGGCACACATCACCGCGTTCATGCTACCTCAGCTCTGCGAGGTTTTCGCAAAACACCAACTTTTGTCTGAGCCGAGCTCTTGCTAGACAATGTATAAAGAAGTCTGCAGCACTTTGAAGCAAAATTTGGACGTCAGGATAAAAACGTGGGGAAAGCAGCCTTGGGAGCCAACAACCATTGGCAACGGCAACAACAATTGCCTGTCGGAGAAGCCTACTGCACACTAGAAAGTTTCTAAAACATATGTCCTGAGCCAGCCACTAGATGTGGCCTAGGTCGAACATATTCCTGCTTTCTATGCCAGTTATACAAGTCTTTCAAGTACATTGCTGTAAAACCTTAGAAACCACCACAACACCCTCAAAGACCCTACAGTATAAACCCTAGGGTTTTTAGGGTGGGTTTAAGGTTCCCTGTAACCCCTAGACAATCAAAGAAAAGAAAGAAACTTGGTCCCACCCGGAGACTGGAATCTGCTGCGGCTTCCTCAAGGCTGGTAAACTGGAAGTCCTGCAGAAACGAATCAATAACCCCAGCGTTTCGGGGTTTAGGGTTTAGGGCTTTAGGGTTTTCGCTCTCACACTGGGACCAGCCGGATGAGGTTCTCGGTTCGCAGTCCGTTTCGACTCTTACACTCGCGCACGGCAGGCAAGGCTCCGCACAATCCACGTTCAGGCACGTAGCAGCTGGGCGAAGTTCTCTGGTTACTGTTGTACGACACACGGTTTCGGGAGTTTGGCGTGCGGGCATGGGGATATCCTAACAAGGTCGATGGCAGGGTTCAGGGTTGTAAAAGTACCTTGATCAGGACACCATCGCCCGTCCAGCGTATAACACTAAGCTCTTGCTACACTACCGTCAGCGACCAAAACATAGAATTCATGTACCGGACCTGCTTAGACGTTGAGTTCTGGAAATATTGGGGAACCCCCAAAATAGTAGAGGTAATTATTAAATCCCCTACAGTAGAGAGGGCCCCTCCAGCCCACTCAGTCCTCCAAGAACTGCTGCAACGTTCTGTCGGTACGTTCTTGGCACAGAAGCTTCGGCCGCAGCGCGCAGTAGAAACGGCAATCCCGCAAGGGGCCATAGACCTGACGGCTCGAGGCTTAGGGACAGAGGTTGGGAGAAAGAAGGAAGGTGAAAGAGTGCATGCGATGACGAATGCAATGAGCATGGGGCTGGCGATATCTCTGCTCGCAGGAGATAAGCAAAACAACTACTTCTCTGGACATCTCTGTAAGACACAGCTCCAAAACC